GTATGCGTTTTCTGGGCAAGAGCAGGCTCCAAACAATTGAGAGCCTACTCTATTACAATGAGAGCCAGCTCCCCACCCTTGGGAGCCGGCTCTAAAGTGTTAGGAGCCAGCTCCCTTTATATGGGAGTCAGCTCTTGCTTTGTGGGAGCAGGCTCCCTCCCTTTTTGGAGCCTGCTCTCTCACCCTTAAGAGCCGTCATCCGTTTTCCTCTGTCTTCTTCGCCTCCGGCAATTCCCATGGCCTCTGTTGTTATTTTAATACGTGTTCTAAGGTTCAATCTCAGGTCCAGACTAATCATGAACCAATATAATCCAACCATGACAGGAAATTAAACACCAGTTATAAGCAACGACAGTAAGATTTCAGTTAGAAATTTTAAGTAAAACCCAAACCAAATTAATTCAATGAAATTACATACCGTTTAAACATGCATACAAGATATATTTTAGCATTAGTTTAATCCCCTGGAGTCTACCTAGGCATGCACAGAACACAGGTTAAAGGGAAAGAGTAGAACAGAAACTTGCCTTGAGTTTCAGTTTTGAAACTCTAAACCACCGTCTTTGAATTTTCCGACCACTTTCGAGACTACTATTCCACTCCTCTGTTACTCTTGGTTCAACCCAGAAGCACTCCGTCCCGTCTTCCTTGAACCACTCTGTGTATCTCTCAACTTTAGTCTCTGTTTCTCTCTGCTTTCCACTACGTGAATAAGGTTTTGTTTGTAACCCTATACTAACGTATAATATTGTATTTATAGGCTTCACTCAACACAAAACCTAATTCTAATCCTACACCAACTATAAGTCGGCTACAACGTATAACATAAAAATAAAACCCTAATTTAATCCGTTTAACACATTTAAATAAATAAAACAATTGCGTCCATGTCAGCACATAACAAATACGACAATTAATTCAATTACAAAAGAATAAAAATACAATTAACTAAAACAATTCCAATAACCAGACAAAATAAATAAATAAACAGATAATCAAATTTAATAAAACAATTCAAATACACAGGCAAAATAAATAAATAAACCAATAATCAAATTTAATAAATAAATAAACAAATAAAACAATTAATTAAATACTAGGACTATCGTTTTAAAATTAGGGGTATTACACCATCCCATACTGGTGCACTACATCCACACAATCAAATAGTTGATGTAACAATTAAAGAAGTACATCAAATAATCCGGAAATAAATATAATAATATAATATCATGTTAATCACAAAATAGGAATGACTTATAATTTATTTAAGCTTCCTACATCACATATACTACACAAACCAAATCTTAAATATGCTGATATTTTACTATACAGTCAAGTAAGCATTCTCCAAATACAATTCATGCTACACATTTAATCTTAATTGTTAGAACAAACTAAATATTAACTCCATTCATTTCTCAAAGAATCAAATAGCATGCATTGTTATATTTAAGTTTGTTTAAACTTTATTTAAACTCCTATCTAGTCCTTACTTGATGTTTAGGACCCCTCAAATAAAATTAACATTAATTCAACGCTATTTTTGAAACTTTCCCAGGTAAGGCTCGAGTTTTTATCCTAATTGCTCGAGCATCCTATTTCAGGCTCGAGCTTCCTGCTTCAGGCTCAAACTTTTCACCTAATTGCTCGAGCTTTTCTTTTCAGACTCGAGCTTTTCATCCATGACTCAAGCTTTACCCCCAAGGCTCAAGCACTGTATGAGCGAATCAAACACTGTTTACGCGATTCAACCCAAAATTCTACTGTGAACCCAATCTTTATTTTTTAAGGATTCTAAGGCATGTTTCTAGGTTCCATCAATATACAGATATGAAAATACATCATTTAAAACATGTAACAATTCATAAAGTGATCAAATCAAATTTCTGAATTTATCAATTCATACCACAAGAACAATCATGAAATATAATTTATAAAACCTATGTTCTAGATCAATTAAATTATAAATTCTAATTTTAATTGTTCTTTACATAACCCTAAGATTATAATAGAGATATATATTTTACAGATCAAATGAGAAGTGCAGAACAAGAACTTGCCTTTAGGGATTTGATAAAAAAAACCCTAACCTCCTTCTTCCTCTTTCTTTTTTTTCTTTTTCTCTCTCTCTCTCTAAAATATTACGTGATATAATTCTAGTCCCATTTTTCAACCCTATAGTTATATATTTATAGGCTAAATAATGACCCTACTCCTTTTCTCAATCCACCTCAAATTAATAAAGAAAATAATAAAAATAAAATATTAAAAAGGTAATTAAAATATATGTTACGTATGATCTATGTATATTATTTTTTATCTAAATAAAATAAATATATCAAATTATCACCAAAGGACTTTCCTTATATATATATATATATATATACATATACATTATCCATGGGTAATTATCTGTACCCATTAAACCCCTTATCCAAGTAGCCCATGACTACTATCCATAACCCTTAGAATAAAATAAAATAACATAACAATGTACAACATTTAATTCCTAACCATTAATTACAAGAAAACACCTAACATTTAAGTAAACAAATACACATCATTTATCACATAATTCAACTAAATAAGTATTTCAAATAAATACATAATCAATTAATTCATATAAAAAATCAAACAAATAGCTAAAAAATCAAATAAAAAATTAAAAACACAATTAACACAATTAATAAAATACCGAGACTATCTTTTTAAAATTAGGGGTATTACAGTTAGTGTCTATGATAGCCATTAAAGAATTCTTGTGCTAGAAGAATGCTATCATCAATTTGCCTACCAAGAATGAAAGCAGATTGTGCTGGCCCTATGATGTGTGTGTGATAATCCGGTTTTTTTTTTTTTAGATTTTAATTTATAATTTTTTTTTTTTTTTTGAGTTTGTTTTAGTGGAGGTTTAGTTTTGATATTTTATATATAGTTTATATATGTTGTCTGTTGTGGGGATGCTTTATGCCAGCCGCGGAAATGGAAAGGAATGAAGAGAAAATTGAGATTGTGGTTGTTTGGCATGGGTCCCACCTAAAGATGATGATTGGGTTTGAATTGATTTTCTTTATTGCATATTTATATATATGTAATCTATTGGAAGGGGAGCACCTGGCCGAAATGATGAGAGAAAAAGTAAGATTGAATTTGTGATTTTTGTGGGTCCCATGATAATTGATTTGGTTTGTTTTTATTGTGTGTGTATTTGCACCAAATGGTGATAAGGAGGAGCCAAAGTGGAGAGATAAGAAAGAGAAAAGGAAACAATGAAAATGGTGATGTTATAGACGGGCCTACAAGGATTTATTTTGCCAAAAGTCTTGAGTTTCACGTGGGTTTGGTCTGATAGAGTGAGATATGGTACTGGAGTGTGTTAGATATGATGTGAAAAGATAATGTAAGGAAGAGTAGGTAGCGGGGTTCACTTATAATGAGTATATTGATATTTAATATTTTGATTGTGTGGTGAGCAAGCTATTGTATGAAAGTCGGTGCATTTGCCTTTATATATGGTATCTGTCTTGTGAGTTTAGTAAGTTAAAGAAAGAAAGGAATATTAGAGAGAGAGAGACAGAGAGGCTTGAGGACAGAGAGAAAAAAAATTAGAGAAGTGCACAGATAAAAAGAGAGTCGAGAGTTTGAGTAACGAGAGAGGTCCAAGAGTTGCAGAGGAGGCAGGAAGCTTGAGGCTTTGATGATCCAGTGAGGAAATATTTCTTTTTTAGTGTAGGATTCTCTATACCTTGAATGGCTTGGAGTGATTTTGCTTCAATGGTTTTTATTAAATGTTTTAATTAAATGCATATGTATTTTGTTTACATACTTTCATGAATATATATGTTTTGTGAAGCTGTTTTGTTAAACCTACATAAAATTCTTGTTATGGTTTTTCCTACTGGGAATTTTTGTCTCACCACCCTCCAGTTTCAGGTACCGAAGATGAATAGAGATTGCTAGTTTTGGACTTAGGTGGAAGAGTCGGCGTTGCAGGATTTATTTTATTTATTTGGAGAATTTTTATATAAATTTGTGGAAATTGATTTTGTATAAAAGAGGGCAATTTTTTGTGATCCTGTGTGTATTTTGATGTATTTTGATTTGAATGAATGAAGGATTTTGTTAGAATTTTCGAATCGTAATAAAATGGTATCAAAGCATTTTATTAAAAAAATGGTGATCGTGACAGTGTGGGACTGGTTTAAGCTTGTTTGCCAACAGCTTTGAGATGCACTTTTATATGATAGTACAAGAAGATATGGGCCTATAGTCATTCAGGGTTGTGGGATTTGGTTTTTTTGGTACAAGGGATAGGTATGTAGAATTAACCTCCTTGAGAAGTTTCCCAGTGATGAAGAACTCCTTGATTGCCAGTGTAATATCCTTTCCAATGATGTCCCATGATTTTTTAAAGAATAAGGAGTTGTATCCAACAGGGCCAGGTGCCTTACCACTATCTATGGAGAACATGCATTGTTGTATCTCCTCATAAGTGGGTAGTGAGCACAAAAAATCATGGAAAGTTGGTGGTACTGTAGGCTGAATGTAGGGGGCAAGGTGAGAAATACCTAGGTAGGGACGAGGGTTCATCCCAAGGGCAGAGTGGAAGTAAGTTACAACTTCCTTCTTGATGTCCTCAGTAGAGGAGTTCACAAACAGTAAGTATTAAAACTAAAAATAAATAAATAAATATAAAAATAAAAAATAAATAAAGAAGTGGTAGTCTGAATAGAATAAGATATCAACCCTAAGAATATGAATTAGGAAGGAGCATAAGTCTAAGATAGTAATGGCATAATAAAATTTATTGCATATTATTGAATTGAAAATCAAGAGGTATTACAAACTAAATATTCTGAGATTAAATTGCAAACTACACAAAAACGAAATTCCTTAGAAAAGTAATAGTCTGATAATCAAGACTGCAGTGCCTTTGCTTGAACTCTTCATATCGATCTGAACTGCTAGTGTTGCCATCATCATACGAGGGGTAGGGTCTAGACCGCAGGATCGAAGAAATCGTCAACCCCATGAATGATCACACGGCCATCAATGTAGACGTCCCACTCTTTGACCTTGACACCATTGATAGAAGTAGGTCCTCCACCCGGAAGCGTAGTGGGCACAAGGGAATGGCCGGAAAGGAGAGTGTCAATCTTAGACACGTAGGGCATAGACATATCAAGAACCTCTCTATCAATCTTAAATGGCACAACGTGATACTGAAGGAGCCCCAATGAAGGATCTCCGGTCTTGTAATAGTACAAAGCATTGTCGTGGGGGCAAAATATGGTGACAGTGCTGTGGTTTGCTAATTGATCATGTGGAACCAAAGTTTGTAGGGTGTACCTTAATATCAATGACATGACCATATAACCCTTGCTTGATAGAGAACTTGAGATCATGTCAACGTTAATCTCGTGATCGACTCGGGTTGCAATGGATTGTGGCATCATTGAAAGAAAAAGAAGAACAAGAATGGTTAATGAAAGTTTAGAATCCATGAGAGAGAGAACTGCAAGTTTTTTTTACTGAACAAAAGGTGGATGTAGTATGTGAAAGATGTAAATATTTTCCCTAAATATAAAATACACGTATAGAAACCCTAGATGGTACCCCTGTCTCTCTCTCTATATATATATATCTTAAAACATTGCACTACAAGCTATCCTCCATGAACTGTCTCCAAATAACTGTTTAATTACGCCGTAGAAGATAAAATTTGTGTGTGAAGATCAAGAGTAACTGTTAGAGGTTCTTCTCATGCATGTCCAGCGCAGTCCAGGTGTGCAAGGTGGCTTGAAGTTGACGCCAACGTCCGGGGATATCAATATGGACTTTGGGCTTATTTAACATGACTGATTGGGCTAGACTCATAAGACTCGATCTGCTAAACTTCTATACGAAAGTCTCAAACATGTTGAATCTAGATTTTCCACTATATAACTAAATCTGGACGCCAATATGATTTGTCAATTCCATTGATCTTATTTGAATTCAAAATTATAACCCAAAGGCCAAAAGCTGTAATTAATTAGACGATTCTATAATGAGAGTACTCTCATGATAAGCAATATATTGTGCATTCAATCACTGGATTAAAAAGCTGATAGATGGCTTACGTTGTCCACGAATTTGACAATATGTATCACACTGAATTTTTTATATGCCTCTGATAGCCCTCTGCTCAGAACTGATTTAGCCGGCATCATGTGAAGCTTCCAAATTTGAACTGCTGCAACTATACAGAGTAAGATAAATCGAGACTTTTTTTTTTTTTTTTTTTGTAAGTGAAATCGAAACTATTTTGAAGGACTTTAGTATAAAAATTAACCCGAGCTTTCTTGCAACGTCTTCAAAGTTGAATTACAAGGACCCGTCTCTGAAGTTGTGTGTTACTGGATTCTTTGGTTTGTAGGTTTAGAGTCGTTCGGTATACTTCATGCATGTATACAAGGATTGTTTAGTGCTTTGAAGAAATATAATTGGCCAAGTTCTATCAATTTAACTGGAATTTGAAGAAGCCTCAATTCGTTCTCTATAACATTGACGTTCAAAACAAAAATTAAAATTGAGATGTGGCTGTAGAAAATTTTGATTTTTGAAGTAGAAAACCGAATAGAACAATTTATTTATTTATTTATTTATTAATTTATGGTTATTTTTTGTCATTTTGGATGAATTTTTGAAAATTTTGATATCCTCAAAGATTATGGCAATACTGTGGTAAGTACCAATATTACTGCACATATGAAGAAAATCTTTTTGCGTATGGAAGCAATTCAACAAATACGCAGAATAAAAACAAAAACAAATATTTAATGATAAAATATATATATTTTGCTTTTGTTCTTCAAAGATTTTGTTGTAACAATAATAGATTAACAGGTAAGGATTAAAACTAAAAAAATAATAAATAATAAATAAAGGGTAATCTGGGTAGAATAAGATATCAACCCTAAAAATATGAATTAGGAATGAAAACAAGTCTACATGGTTTACAAGCTTAATATTCTGAGATATAATTGCAAACTCTATACAGCAACAAAATTCCTTGGAAAGTAGTAGTCTGATAATCAAGACTATGGTCTCTTTGCTTCAACTCTTCTTGTCTGAAGGGATAGTAGTACTGTATTGCCATCATCCTACCAAGGGTAGGGTCTAGACCGCAGGATCGAAGAAGTCGTCAACCCCATGAATGATCACACGGCCATCATTGTAGATGTCCCACTCTTTGACCTTGACACCATTGATAGAAGTAGGTCCTCCACCGGGAAGCGTAGTGAGCACAAGCGAATGGCCGGAAAGGAGAGTGTCAATCTTAGACACGTAGGGCATAGACAAATCAAGAACCTCTCTATCAATCTTAAATGGCACGACGTGATACTGAAGGATTGTGTGTCTGTTTGTTAATAATGGATTCTTTTGTTAGAGAATAGATTTGTTTGGTACTTCATGTATACAAGGATAGCTGAGTGCTTTGAAGAAATATTTTCTGTAATATATATATATATATATATATATATATATATATATATATATTTTAATTAGTATTCACACACACATGCCTTCATTCTGTAATATATAATTGGCCTAGTTTTATTAATTTAGGTAAGTTCTATTATTTTGTTTTTTTAGTTAAAAGGTAAGCATATATTGAGATAGAAAAGGAATGTACAGGGAGCCCCCAAGCAGGGGGAAAGAACTGAACATAACACCAAACATCAACCAACAATGACAGCAGCAAAGGCAAACCAAAAACAACATCCAAATGAGAATGAACATCCAATTAATCTTTTATACAACTTCTAAATTGACTAGTCTTCCAAGGGAAACCATGTGTGACAGTCAGCAAAAGCACAGCCCTCCATGAACATGTTCTGCAGATCCTCAATTGAACCCATTTGATTCATCTCAGCACCCTTCTTCAAAATTAGTGATGCTAATCTTGCTCTAAGCCAACTTTTGATGAGATTAATGATATGTTGAGCACTGGAGGCTTTGTTCCTGAAGGCCCTCACATTCCTTTCAGTCCAGATGAAGTAAACAGCAGCCGAGAGCAAGAGTTTGTGCAATGTGAAGTGCTTCCCTTGCCAGTTGGATGGACACCAGGTTATGAGGTCATTCCAACAATCCGGCCTAATGTAGAACCCAGCAACATTCTGAACAAATTCCCAAACCGAGCAACTGAATGGGCAGTTGAAGAAAATGTGATCTATTGATTCCCAACCAGAAAGGCATAAGTTCTATTAATTTTGTTTACATCCATTAATATTCATTGTGATGATTAATTAGGATTGGACAAGTATGTTTCGCCTCATTAATCCAAGTGAAAGAATATGATTAATACATACATGGTTAAATTGAATGCTATTACACTTATCAACTGTCCCTCATACAAGCTTACCCTTTAACAAGAGAGACCCCAAAGGGCACAGCCAGCACAAAGCAGCCAACACAAGAAAGAACAACAAATACCTCAACAGAAAATTGTAAACAACACACATTCTCTAATTTCAACTACCTACTCAGCAAGGCACCATGCTTGTCCTCCTGCAAAGGAACAGCCTTGCACAAACAGTTGCATTAGATCCTCCTGTGTTCCAATCATTCTGAGATGACCTCCATTCCTTACTTTCATAGATGCAAGCTTGGCTCGAACACAACTTTTGATCAGACAAATAATGTGGTGAGGGGAAGAAATTTTGTTTCTAAAGGCCCTTGCATTCCTCTCCAACCAAATAAAATAAATTGCAGCATTGAAGAGTAGCTTGTGGATAAAGAATTTCTTTGAAGTCCATGTGATAGAGCACCAATTAATTAAATCACCCCAACTATCTGGTAAAATATAGAACCCTGCTACATGCTGGACAAACAACCATTAAAGCTTACCTTTACCCCAAAAAAAAAAAAAAAAAAACTGTCCCTCATAAATACATATGAACTGAAATTATATTATAATAAAATAAAAGAACTTACAAAAACCAAAATTTTATAACAATCAACCAAGTTGGCAACTGAAATTATATAAGTGACTTGTTTGCAGCCAACTATTAACACAATCTCCATGGTACACATGGAAGCTTTCCATATGAGTGACCAGTTCCGCCCCAACATGAAACTTCTCCAAATATATCATACATGTATCATACACTACTCCATTGAAGAAGAACTACCAACAATCACCTTATCCATAGCCTCCATTAACGATTCCTCCAAAGCCTTTTCTAGTGTAGATGGTGAAAAGTAGAGATAGACGTCCACAACCATCAATGGTATGGGGTCAAAGAGGAGGTCCTTGCGAGTTGCACTTGTACAAATAATAGCCCGAGAAAGAATGATCATCTCATTAATCATCTCTGCATCATCCGGAATTTGCTTAAAAGAAAGGATGCTAGAGAAGAGTGAGGCTACGTTATGATCATCGTGATTTGGTTGTAGTAGCTGGCTATAAGCCAAAGAGAAGCAATATGAATTCTCATAGCGCAGACTTAGCAGTTCTCCAGAATCATTGTTAAGTGTAACTTGATGAACCCTTAATTGAATGGCAAGGAATTCGAGTCCCCATTGCAAAAGATCATATGATGAAATTATTTTAGGATCAAGAGAGCCTTGACTCAACCCCCATGAATACAGCCTTCGACTTGACATATTCAAGTACTGCACAGAATTATTATGAAGGATATTAGGTCAAACATATATTCAGAGTGAAGTAAAGAAAGAGATTATCCATGCATATAATGAAGATTTGGCTGAAAAATCAATAAGAGAGAGAGAAAAAATATATATATTAAGTACGATTTGATTATATGTTAAATATATATATATATATATATTTCGGAAGGAAAAAAAAAAAAAAAAAAAGGCAACAAGATCACTTACTCGAGAAGTGAAGATAGGAGGAATACAACTACAAGAAGTGATTAGTTTTAAAAAGAGGAAATCAGAGAGGGTGAGAAAGATGAAGGTAGTGGATATATAAACAACCAGGAATGAGAAATACATACACATATGAATATGGATATGTTCCAGCGGTAGTTTAACGAAAACTAAATTAATAACACAATTACTGGCTAATTAAGATGTATAATTGTAAAAGAATAATCAAGTTTTTTTTTTTTTTTTTCGGTAAGTAAGTTTAAATAATCAAGTATTTAATAATTGAAAAATAATAGAAACAAAAATTTAACTGTAATCTGAATAGAATAACCTTTATGGGAGAACTGCAAGTTCGTTTGCTGGAATGAAGGAGAACAAAAGGTGGTTCAGCATGTCAAAGATGAAAACATGACATATAGAACCCTAGACTAGATACTATATATATACACGGATAATAATTATCCAGCCTAAAAGGCTTAACCAGAAGCGATGAAGTGGTTAACCTTGCAGTACAAGGAATCCTACTTGAACTAGGGTAGCAATTTCCGCGGGTTGGACTTTTGAGATATAACTCAAGCCCAACCCAACATTTGAAAATTAATGTTTAACTCTGACCATTAGAATTACCACAAAAAAAAAAAACTCTACCCACTACTCACTAGACTTGAGCCCAATCTATCTTTCTATTTTGTACTTCGGGTTAAGATTAGTCGGGTTATTTATATGATCAATTCCCACACTAAAACTTATTATATAAAATTTTAAATTACTCCAAAACATAAAAGATTTTAAAAACTTATTATAAATTTTTTAAAAATTACGTACAAATTCTTAGAAATTAATTCTCCAAATGTCAACATATAATAAATTAAGATTCAAGTCTATTTACGAGGCTACGAGCAAAGCTTTGAATGACCTCCAAGGCTTATCATTTATGGCTTATACAAGTTGCAAGAGAGAGCTTTTGCTGACAGAAAGTATTACATGATCCCGACCAATCATAAAATTGTCATACAATCATAAAATTGAATAAAGTGTCATGATCTCAACCAACCAATCACAACCTGTCATGCAATCAAAAAATTGAATAAAGTGTCATGATCTTAACCAACCAATCACAAACTATCATGCAATCATAAAATTGAATAAAGTTGACATATTTATTTAATAATAGTTTGTGATTGGCCGAGACCAGATCACGTCATCATTTCTTGCGACGGACAAGGAAGTGTTTAGATGACCTGAACCCTAAAAAGAACTCTTTGTTTAAACAGCTCTTTGGTTTGCCTGATCAATGTAAGTCGAGTGGCTTACAAGGCCCGAACACAAATTTCTCAGGCTCTCTGAAACCTCGAAGGAAGGCTAAGAAAAACCTTTTCTACATTCTGTCAATGAACTTTGATAATTTCTTGAAGATGTCCAGAGGTTTCAGAATCTAATTTTACTTACCACCAATCCTGATCTTGTTGAAGCATACTTTGGAATGCGTTATCGGAAATAAATCCCTATAATTAGAGTAATTGTGCAAAATGATAAAGATAACCTTACTCCTCTGCATTATAGGCCTTAATCTCTTTGTCAAAAGTGATAATATAAGTTAAACAGAAGACGCGACAAACAGACACTTAACAGGACAGCTTTGTTGGCCAAACATAGTGCAGAACTTGATGGAAACTGTAATGCTGAGAGCAAGCCAGATCTTAGACTATCCTGTAAGCAATTCAGCACATGGCAGAAAAGGATGACACTCGCAATCCGTGTTTTTCCATTGCTTCTTTCACAAAACAGAGATTACAACCAAGTGCACTGAAATATGGCAAGAGCTCATCACACATGATTGGTAGAAGTTGTTTGTTGGAAGACCAAGGTGGCATAAATTAGTTCATTCCATGCATCAGGGACCCCAGGAAGGCACCAGTGACTGCAATCTTGCCGCCTGGTAGAGACCTTTTTCCCATCGGTACGGTTCTTGCCATAGACTGATGGGTGGCCATCCTTGCGAAAATTGGTCAACCTTGTCACGTTTAATAGTGTCACTGGAACATGCATTTCCTGTATTGCCTCCTCTACTATCTTCATTTTCAAAGGATAATTATTGAGGAAGGCCCCATTTAATATAGGTAGAGTCTCCCCATTACACGTTCCACCGGAGTCCCAATCTCCACCTCTGTTTAAAGAATTTACAAACAAATTTAGAAAATATCATGCCTTCCAAAATACCTAAGTTGAGACAACTTCACACATAAAAAAACATCTACATTATTTCTCTGTGTTTTCTCCACAGCGCCTAGAGCAAGAATGATATAAACGATTAAAGAACCTCAGTAATTATTAAAGGCTTAAAAAGGTCGAGTTTATTGGTTGCCCAATAACAGAGCAACGGGAAACATGGGGCTATTTTCCTTTCTTTTATAATCATCCAGTTTCATGGAAGCAAAACAAGTAATGATATAACGCTAAAACGGGAAAGAAAAGACAACCTGAAATGGGCAGACGAGTAGCCGCGATAAAATATCAACTTCTTTGCCGGATTCATGTTTTTATCAATCCACTTTGTCCAGGTCTTCAGAGACTTCCTATAAGCTTCCACTGCATCAAACCGGGGATAGACATAATCACCCTCTTTATAGTAGTTTTTTCTGTGCATACCAAACACTTCTGTTAGTCATTAATTCCATATGTGCATTTTAGTTTAATCAACACCAGAATCAATAAAAGTGAGTAAATGCCATCACATACTTGATTCGAACAGCATATGAGTGGTTTTTTAGTGTTGCTAAAAAGGTTACAGAAGGATATACATAATATGCAATAAACAAGATTAAAAGGTCTATCCCATCTACATTTGGAAAGAAAAAAGTATGAATTCATGGTCAGCAAGTACCACATTATTGCGCTGCAAGCACAATGGTGATGCGGGTATTCGGACACCATTTTGAGAAGAGAAATGATAAGTCTTCCGATCTCAATTACCGACTCTTCGTAGTTGGATCACGTTGGAACTCTTAAAAAAAATCCCGTAAACATCTCTTTCTCTTCGACTTATTTTCAACCACGTTGTATTCGAAGAAGAAGTCGACAATTGAAGTCGGAAGACCTATCATTACTCTTTTGAGAATCTATTTCTCTTGAAGAGGTAATGGGCCTATGGGCTTGACCAACTCAATTCAACCAAGTCTTTAGCTAACTATTTTGTATCGGCTACATAAATCACTTTTTGTCATTCTGCTCTTTCTAAGGCCACAGTAGGATATATGGGCTTCAAAATTGAAATAAATTTACAGAAAAAAGGATCCTGAACATAGAAAAGGAAGATAAAAATCGCAAAACAAAACAAGAAATTATCTCAAAAGGATAGTTGTTGACTCTGATATACCTACCCCCTAGCGGTCTTCCCGTGAGTCCACCAGTGCCCTGTATTGAAGACGAGAATGTCAGCCCGCTTCCATCGGCCAGCTGATTTGTCAATTTTGTCTATTGATAGGGTTGGATTTGAATTCCCTTGTCCATTTAAGCGAGTTCCTTCCCTAACAAGGAAATGTGAACGCAAAAATTCCACCGTGCAGTTATAATCCTGCCCAATCAGTTTGATAGTGTGACTACAACTTAATGCTTTATGTTTTTTTAAGAGAATTTGTTAACGACCTGAACAATATCTGTGTGCATATGGTAAATGTTGTTAGGTGTTATATTAACCTAGAACAGGCTATTGACAGGAATTATAGAAGTTCAGTTTACAGGAAAAACAAAAGGTGACTAATACAACAGTATAATGAAAATCACGTGTGCCTAGTCAAATAAAGCCCAGTAGTTATCAGCAACCTTTCAACTATGCCCGTCATCAAGTTTTCATAATGAATCAATCAACAACTAAAAATAGGAATATGATTACAAGAACATGCAGCCAACCCCATTCATATGGCATAGAGGCAAGTATGATGATTATGATTACAAGGACAACCTTTCTAATGTAATGCCTAATAAAAGAAGCAGCAGCAGCAACAACCACCACCAAAGTCTTTTCCCAACAATTAGGGCTACATGAATCCTATAATCCCATTTTGCTCTATCTGAGACCATGGCGTTCGTAAAACTACATGTTACCATATCCTTCCTTGCTACCCCTACCCACATTAACTTTGGCCTTCCTCTTCCCCTAATATTACCCTTAAGGTGTTCAACTAACGCACATAAAAGTCTTCTCTGAAAGAAAAATAAACAATGTCTCTTCAAAATATAGAACTATCTTAATCCAAAATTCGAATGGAACATATGAAGCATATGGTAGATGCGAAGTTTACAATTACCTCAAATTTGAAAATGTAAAAGCCTCTTCCCTTTGTGATTTTGTAGCCATGGGTTTCATACATTTTGTTCTTGTCTGGTATGCCTTCACGGAGAAGGCATAAGAGGGATTCAAACTGGTTTCTATTCATGGAATCTCCAACCAGCATCAGCCGTTTGCCTCTCAGTCTCACCAAGAAGTCTGTTGCATTGAACCTTCAAAATAATACATTTCCACCAAATATGATCAAATACGAAAACATGATGAAGTTAAAGAGTTCTTACTGAGGTAAAGTCCTTCAAAACATTTAACGGAAAAAAATAAATAAATAAACATAAAAAATTAATGATCCATATAGTTAATCAAGAGGCAAAGAGAGAATAAAAACATGTTAGGAAAAAAATTAAAATACATAAGAATTTGAAGTCCATAATTGGATTTTTTTCCAGTTTTCAGCACCAAACAGATCACATGTGTCCCCAGGGGACATAAGTAATAATTTTTAATTAGAGCAAGAAGCCTACAACTGAATTGGATCACTTTCAGGTGGTTGCAAAACTACCGAATGCATCAACACAAACACGTCAGAATAACAACATAACCTACTAAAGTATATTGTCCGTATTGATTTTTTTTTTAATATACTTTTGAATTGATAACCAAGTTGGATTTGGATCATTTTCATTTATTTACAATTAACAAGAACTTTGGCATTGAATTTCATCTTGACATCAATCAATCAGCTATCAAAATATTGCCCATTAAAACACTTTATCAGTCAGAAACCAATTATGGTTGTATAATAAGTTTAGGATAATGCTAAGTAAGCCCCCGAAAGCATCCCAACCATGGGATGCTTTCAAATGGTCCCACACATGAGAGCGTCCCATGATTGGGATGCTCTTGGCCCAACACTTCGGGTGAAGTGTTGGGCTTATTTAGCATTGTCCATAAGTTTAATGCCTACTGCTTAGGAGACAGAAAATCCTGAATTTGAATACCCCTGAAGACCAGCCACCTTCCTAGGTTTCCTTGGGGTATTAACAGATGCAGAATGTGTGGTGAGCCTACCTATGCTGTGGATTCGTCAGGCCAAAGGTCCAGATAATTCATTAACAAAAAAGTAAGAAGTTTTGGGAATTTATTCAAAGTTGAACGCACCCCCCCTCCTCCTCCTCTTCTTATATATTTTGAGAGAGAACATGACAAGATAATGTCCAGTGTTGACACTATAATTCACCAAAGTTGAGGACTTTTTACATATAAAACCCTATATAACCAAATACCCCAACTCTTACCATTCTAAAGGATAATAGAGGAGCATCTAACATTACACCACTGGAAGACTATGATTAAGAAGTTTAAATACAACCACTTGACCAATTTAATACGCAGATGAAAGTGTCTTGATTAGTGCTTTTAAACATTTAATAAACATTTAATATGCTGAATTTCTCTCACTCTTAAACTAAAATAAGCATATCAATTAACACAATGATACTCAAACCATAATTAGGTATCAATTCACTAGAACTGCAAATACCCAAATGAGATTAAATTAATAAAATAAATAAATTGGAGGGGACAAAGGACTCACCGTGGAAGATCACAGCCGTCAGGCTTCCATCGCCATTTTAGATACTCAGAGTCGCGCCTTCCATTGATTTGGCAGTCATATGCTTCGTCAACATAAGGGCAAGACCCGGGTTCGTAAAGTGGGTACTCCTCAGCTTTCACCCAAGTCCCCACATACAAATCGCAATGTTTATCCCAATTCACCTTCTTAATATCAACATCACCACCATTGTTAGTGATTGCACTAACAGATTCATTTTCCGAAACTGGGTAGTTCTTCTCTTCAACCCCAGAATCAACCGACTCACTCTTGTTGATGGTATCCTCAAATTCAGAATCTACGGCAAACTCTGATTTGGAAAGTGGGTGGCTTCTCTCTTCAACCCCAGAATCAACCGACTCAGTCTTGTTGATGGTATCATCAAATTCAGAATCTGCGACAAAGTCTGGTTTGGAAATTGGTGGGATAGGTTTTTGAAGCGATGTTTCCAAGATTTTTGGGTCAGCGAGAGAATTAGATGTGGAGGCTGAAATGGCGGTGGAATTTTGGGATTTGTTTTGGGGAGAATTAAAAAGAAGTGAAGAAGAGAAAAGATGTGTTGAGGAAGAGAAATCTGTGGAGAGAATGTGTGTGGAGTCGAGTGCTCGTTTACTGAAGAAGAATATGATCAGGAGAAACAAGCAAAGGAACAAGAAGAAGATCGTAATTGTGTAACGGTTCTTCTTGTGAGAGGAAGCTGCCATTTGTGAGATGGCATGTTCTACCGAGAGAAACACACACTCGCAGAGAGAGAGAGAGAGAGAGGAAGGGAGACAGAACACGCTTGGCACACCCCTTTCATGGTAATACTGTTCGGGATCTAAAATGGTGCGGGCCAATCCACCACAGGCCCATCTGGTTTCTTGATTAATGGATCATGTATAGTTTAATTAATGATTATTAATGCTAATTTTGTACTAGTATATAATATTAAATTTGGCCCCCAAATATTTTTCAGAATTCTATTAACAGTAATTATTCATGGTTATTAATAGTAATTTTGTATAAGAAAATTAAAATTGACCTTCCAAAATTTTATAAAATTCTCATTTATAGTTACTTATTTATAAAAATTAAAGATGGTTTGTGAAATAAATTATTTACTCTTTCGAACCTTTTGATCTTGCCTTTAAAAATTCAAACTTCATAATAGAAGCGTTTATTATTTTGTAAGTTTTGCCAAAACGTATTAGTACTCTCTCTATATGTATAAAATTTGCCCATGCATAATTCATTCGGATAACATGAAAGTCCAACTAAATAGCATTTCCAGAATCCCCGATTGAATCTCAATTATTGGTAAAGCAGTCATATTTTTTTCACCTAAATGAGAACTTAATTTAGCGGGTCTTTCTAAAAGGGTAGTTCCTTGCTTTCCAAAATGCTTATATAATTTTATTTTTAAAAAAAAAGATGATTAAAAATTCAGCATTTACAAACTTAAAGTAAAATAATACATACATAAATATATATACGTATGCAGATATTATACAATAATACGAATCATGGTAAAAATATACGGTAGCATGCACGTAAGTTATGTAACAGACTAACAGTTATTTGTTTGTATATATTACAAGTATTATTATTTTTATACTATTTTTTGATATTTTTCTATCAAATCTCAACATTAAATCAAATTTAAAAAGTGATAAATTTATTATAAACCATTTGTGGGGTTGCATATATATTTATTTGTTTAGATATCTTATTTTTTTATTTATCCAAAAAAAAAACAGATCTTCTATTTTTATCATAACTGTCAACATATAGTTTTAAATTATAGTACGCATAATGGAATTAATTCATGGTAGTATTTGACAAAATATATAGATATATATTATTATATGATACTAGTTATTATATATTAAATTATTTTAACTTTCCGATTGATTGAAAAAATGAAATTGACAAGTTAATTGTCAAACATGTTATATTTTCACAATATTTAGAAATAGCTTTTCTTTCTGTAAAAAGGCAATGTCAACTTTTTAATGAAATTTTTCATTAATGTATAACACGTATAAAGTTTAATATATGTGCATTATACAATTTGACTCAAAAGTATGATGAGTATTATTTGTTAAACTTGTACAGAATACCGAATTTTTGCAAGGGTAAAGTGGAAAAATAAAAAATCACCCTGCAATATATAGAATGTGCAAATATTCATTGGTATTTAAAAAAAAAAAAAAAAAAAAAAAAAAAAAAAAAAAAAAGGCCTCTACATTTTCCAATTGAGTAAATAAGAAAAATTCTTCAATTTAAAAACTGAAACACCAAAAATACTCTTTAAGACGAAATATAAATAAAAAACACTGATTTCACAATTTTAAAATTTTTATTAAAAATAAAAATAAAGGTTTTTATAAATAAATAATTGGGATTTTGGAGTATTTTTTAGTTTTTTTAAAAAATTCAATTTTTTTTAGTTTTTACAAAAAATAATAATAATAATAATAAGAAGAAAAAAAATTGAACACTCAAATACCTAAAATGTTGTTAAGGGTATTTTAAGAATTTTATTAAAATAAAAAATTAGGTCAAATTTGATGATCTTGTAAGGATTTATATGCACATACTAAATAATATGATTGTTTCATTTGCATATTTTTTTAATATTTTTATATGAAGGAGTTTTTTTTCTATTTTTTTCAAATATGTACAGGTATAATTTACAATTTTGATAACTATACATTATCATTACTTAGTTCCAACCTCCAAGTTCATTGAAACCAATTCACACTGTCATTAATCATATCATTAAATACTACTCCACTCCATATTACACATGAATTTAAAAAACAAATCTAAATAAATAAGTGCCATACTTATTATATATAATAAATATATACATTCTTAAATTTGTATCATTAATTAGATTCCCTTTCCTCCACATACGTTCCAGACATCCAAATATATTGATCTCCAATTAAGTCTGCAATAAATTCCTCTCTATCTTCCTCATCTTCCTTTCTGCCCACGGTCCTTGAAGCAAACAGTTGCCTCTATCACTTTCGGAGCAATCTCTCTGCTGCTACTTTTAAGCAGTGGAACGGAAAGTGGAATCTTAATTGTCACTTTGTACCTTTTCTTTTTCTTTTTTTTTTTTCCTTCGGTAATTAAATAGTCACTTTGTACTTATCCAACTGTTTGCATGAATTACATCTGTCATCCCTAAAAAATTTCAAATTACTTCTCCTCCAATATATCAATAGTCAAATAGTATGCTCATTCATTAATTTGGATAAGATATACGCAATATCTTTTTATATATAATCTCCTCAACCTCCACCTCCTCTTCCTCTGTACACACATATATCTTGGTCCTGCGCTTGTTTAGATTGTTAGCACAATAAATTATATCGTAGTGTAACACATACATGAAAAAATTATGTTGATATACAAGTAATGTAAGCACATGTCGCATAAATTATGCAAAATTGTTACACAAACAATTCGAGTATTTTTTGTCCGTTCCAAATCACTTGCATAATTAAAAACACAAGAAATGATCCGGATTGGTCAAGAATTCAAATCCCCTATGGTGAAGTGGATCACGCGCACCCATCTTGTATGTGTTTTTTGTCCTAGTTGATATTCACCATCTCCTTAAGCTAGAATTGTTTGCGTACAAGAGGGTACATCGAACCTAACTTAGACTTGATGTTTCAAGACCACCATCCCGTATTGCTAATGTAACCTAATACAATAGCATAAAACAACGATGTAACATAGTTGTTACATAAACAATGTAAATTATTGTCTTAATTAAAAATACAATTAAGAGATGATATGGGTTGGTCAATAATCTAGATCCCTACCATGAAGTGAATCATGTGCTCTCATCCTGTATTTTTATTTTTTTTTCTTCGTTGATATTTACACACCCTCTTTAAAGAATTGTTTACGACAGACAGGAATCAAACCTTAGATTGGATGTTTTAGAAGGCCACCCATTCTATATTGTTAATTACCGAGTGTAGAATTATAGATTCTGTTTTTCTACACTTAGATTGGATGTTTTAGAAGGCCACCCATTCTGTATTGTTAATTACCGAGTGTAGAATTATAGATTCTGTTTTTCTACACTTCGTGCAAAAATAAGAAAAACTTGCAAAAACTAAATTAAAGATGGTATGAAATAAGCAGGGTCGAACCATACAAGATTTCGACCATATAAGATTTAAACTCGTGAATCAAAATTAAAACCAAAATTTAAGGAAGAATAACTTATAAAACAATTTAATGATTTATTATTAATAAAATAAAAATAAAATAAATAAAAAAGACGAAATAAATTCTGATCAAATATTTCAAGGAAAGAATCCACCACCACAGCTTAATATAAATAAATTTGGAGAAATCCAATTACAACTTGGAAAGATGAAGAAAATAATAGCATGAAATAATAATTGCTTGAGAACATATTTTACTTAATTTGATATATCTTTAGAAAATAGAAAGAGAATTCTTATTTCTATTTTCCAAAAATAGATCAGATTAAGTAAAATATGTTCTCAAAGCAATTATTATTTTACACTATTATTTTCTTCATCTTTCTAAGTTGTAATTGGACTGGTGGAGTGATTTGTTTACAATAGGAAAATTTACATACAGAAAAATATACAAATTTATTTATAGTAAGCAAATCCATGAGATTTTTCTTATTATTTGATCAGAATTTATTTCATCTTATTTATTTATTTTATTTTTTAGTTTATTAGTAATAAATCATTAAATTGTTTTAAAAGTTATTCTTCCTTAAATTTTGGTTTTAATTTTGATTCATGAGTTTAAATCTTGTATGGTTCGACCCTACTTATTCTATACCATATTTAATTTAGTTTTTGCAGGTTTTTCTTCGCCACATCAAGATTGAGAATTCGATGACGTAAACTCATGAATCAAAATTAAAACCAAAATTTAAGGAAGAATAACTTTTAAAATAAATAAATACGATGAAATAAATTTTGATCAAATAATAAGAAAAATTTCAAGGAAAGAATCACCACCACAGCTTACTATAAATAAATTTGAATAATTCTCTGTATATAAATTTTCCTATTGTAAGCAAATCACTCCACCAGTCCAATTACAACTTGGAAAGATGAAGGAAAATAATAGCGTAAAATAATAATTGCTTGAGAATATATTTTACTTAATCTGATATATCTTTGGAAAATATAAATAGGCATTCTCCGAATTACCATTAATTGGCGAATACGAAGAATCCTCTTTCTAATTTTTTTATCAAAATAAGAATACAGAATAAAAGAGTAAAATAATGCTCTAAAGAGAAAATTTCATAAAAGAATTAAACTAAATTTACTTATATTTCAACCATAGTGGTTTCATCACTCCCTTGAGAAGGGGTGTTTAAGCTAGCATAATAAGAAAACAAAATAAAGAAATAAAAACAATCTTCATAACAAAAATTATAAGAAATAAATTGAAGACAAAAATTCTCTCTAACTTTTAGTATTTTATCCCACTAACAATATACATCTACCTCCTTTACATATGTCCCTATTTATAGAGTTTGAATGGAACGATTGGGAGGTAAAAATTCTAATTTCAGAAGTGAAATAAAATAAAATAAAATCTTCCTAAAATTTTGCTGTTTTCCAATTTGGTCTGATCTTTGACTTGATGTGATGGAAAGTCAAATTTGAATTTGACTGATCGTATAATCTCATAAACTTGTTATTTTTGTCTCTTTCTTCTTATTATGAAATCAGCCCTTACAAAACATAAAAAGCAAGGATAAGAGTATTTATCTAATAAAAAATATTAATTAATTATTTATTATTAAATATAAAATAATAAGTTTTGTACCCCTACTATTAATGCAACTATTGTTACATAAATAAGGTAAATTATGTATCACGTCAACAATATAAAAGTACGTGACAAACACATGATCGATCAAAATGGCAGGAGATTATCCGAGTTCCTTAGTCAAATATAAATAAGGTAAATTATGTATCATGTCAACAATATAAAAGTACGTGACAAACACATGATCGATCAAAATGGCGGGAGATTATCCAAGTTCCTTAGTCAAATACACATCTAATTGGTGTTTGGTCTAGTCAAAATATTAAAGTAGATTAATTTTCCCACCAAGTTATTATTTTCTTCTCCAATATAAAACCCACATCCGTCATTTGCCCAAATCTGTAGTAGATGTGCTTTACAAGCAAACACAAACTACTTTCACCTCATATATATATATCCAACAAAAAATTATATACTACTAATTACTACCAAGTTTTGCAGTTCTTTTTCCCCTTTGTGGGAACACTAGGCTTTCATCTTTAGTAGATGTGCTTTACAAGCAAACACAAACTACTTTCACCTCATATATATATATCCAACAAAAAATTATATACTACTAATTACTACCAAGTTTTGCAGTTCTTTTACCCCTTTGTGGGAACACTAGGCTTTCATCTTTAGGCCCCCCCAACTGTTGCAGCACGTGGAAATAGATAGCAAGTTTCTCCTACCTTAAGTGTCAGAGAGAAGGAGAGAGAGAAAGATAGAGAGAGTAAAGAGAGAGAGAGAGAGAGAGAGAGAGAGAGAGGGAGGCAAAGTTGGAACAGAATGTGGTTTTTTTTGAGTTATTTTTTCTCTTCCCAAGTTGGAAGTCTGTTTTGCTGTGTATGTTGTAGACTTGTAGTATATCCAATGGAATTGAAAGCAATAAATGGTGTTTGGTGAAGGTTCTGGTCAAAAGAGATGTTGATGTATCGAAGTCTTCACTGTATATATCCTAGGTCCCATAGTTAATGGCTATAAATTACACAAATCAAACCCTCTTCTTTAATTTCCGTCTTTTATGGCTTAAACCCATCCAATTCTTTTTGCCTCTCTCTCTCTCTAGTCACTTTTCAAGTATATTTCCTCTACTTGTCTTCTTGTTCATTTCTCTTTGATCTGATATTGTATTTTTTTTTTCCCTATTATTTCCTGAATTTTTCTCTCTAGTGCAATGAGAATAGTTGTTCTTGTTCTTGTGCTAGTTGCTTTGATTCTTGCGAGCACCGGGTCGAATTTAGCAGCAAGAGAGTTCTTCTTCACAGCCAATGGTGGTGCTAAGAAGAAGATTAATGGTGATGCCAACTCTTATGTGTTGTTAGACGCTATGCTCAAGAAGTGCAAGTCCAAGAAACTCCGATTCTGCATGAATTCTCAGAACTCTGATCAGAAGAACAACATTACCGACGACGACAAGCGAGTCGTACCCACCGGTCCAAATCCATTGCATAACAGGTAGGAGAAGAGAAATTCAGTTGTTAGGATGTGAAGGGGTGATTTTGAAGTCATCTTCTTTCTCAACATGTATTGACAGTTCTATTAATGTACGTTGTTCCTAAATGTAGATGTGGAATTTAATGATATGCACTTAATTATTTGTTTCAGAACATCCTCTAGTTATGATGGTGTGTGATCATTTTTTTTTAAGTTTAACTTTCTGGAATATATATTGCTTTTGTGCTCCAAATGGTGTTTCTATTACATACTACTACTGTTCACGATGTTTAAAATGTTTAAAGAGTACTTTAAACAGTTTGTTCATCGATTGATTGAGATTATCTGGTTTCCCAAAGTTCAAGTTATGATGATAAGTACCAATTGCATGACTCTTGCTTTACTTAATCTAAGAGTTAAATGTTTGAGTAGTTACCTAGTTCATTCAACTAATAAAATTGAACAATTGTGTCGTATTATGAATTATGTATCAAATTCTTAGTCTAATTAGGTTGTATTTTGTTTGGAATTTTTTATTAGACAAGTTTTGAATTCTAAGGAATTGAATTTTGGACTTTATAAATATACCTGGGTGGGGTGGAGACTTGTCAGATTGATAGGAATTGGGTTTTGGACTATATAAGTAGATAGGTTATGGGCGACAATTGCGAGATTGATAGGGATGTAGGGAGTTGATGAGCATGGAGAGCTGGCGCTGAGTATGGTCTATCATTGTAATGTTTTTATAGATAAATTGCACTGATTTTTTGTGAGGTTTCGTTAATATACAAGGACATCACATCTTGTTTGTAATTACGATGTGCTTCTTTATATATATATATATATATATATATATATATATAATATTTTATTACAATAAAATTATTTTCCAAGAATATAATTGAAATTTGAAAGCCGCAAAATTGCTGACATGATCATTTTTTGTCATTGATCGTTAATAAAATAGAGATGTGTTATTTACGTACAAATTTTAAGAAAAATAAGTATAATTTGACAAACAATGAGGGAGGTTAGTGTATATTAACAAAATCGCAAGAGATATTAGTGTAATTAATCTTATTTTAAAATAATCTTAGTGAAATACCTTTTCATCCGTAGTTGTAACCTAAATAGCTATCCTCCGCTATAATTGTACTATAATTGTAGCAGTATGTACACTTTTCAACGCATTAGTAAATGTGTTAAAAATAGATGTAATGGAAAAGTCGCACCGCCATTAAATATTGTGTTTGTGTGTAAGTACTCTATTGTCCTTCGCCGGATGTCCATTTCACTGTATGTCCATGTTCCTTGGCTCTGTACGTTGCCCCCCAACATGTCGGTGATAGCAATGTCCAACAAGTTTTTGTGACAAATTAGAAATGTAGCTTCTACCTTATTGTTTCCAATTGATTCAACACTTACATGGGGTAGTTGAAAAAATTGGAATATAAAAGAGAAGCTAACCAGAAAATACAAGAAAGAAGCTGACAAGAGAAAAGATATATAGAAGACGGTACTTGAGAGAGTGAGAGTGAGAGAGAGAGAGAGATTTTTGGTGGGGGAGTGGGATTCGAGAGAAAAAAAGAAGTTGGTTTTGATATGTTATGGGTGTTGATGGGATTCTTTTCCTGATTGGGGATCACGGCATTGAATTTGCATCTGAACAGACTTTAAATTGCTGTCTACTTTTTGGAGGGAGTGAGAATTTAAAAGTGGCTTTTTGCCTACATGCCCATCAGACTGCATTGAATTCAAAGCTACTTTTCTACGAAAGTCGTTTTGTTTTTATGGTTTTGAGACCTATTAATGGTTGGTTCTGCATTTACCTCTCTCTCTCTTTCTCTCCTCTCTCTCTCTCTCTCTCTCTGTGTATCAAATGAAGAGAGAGATTTAGCATCTGGGTTGCAGGCACACAGACAGCTACAGATTACGTGAACAGTAATACTAAATAGTATTTCACAGAGAAAAGAGACCACTTTGATTTTCGTGTATTGGTTTTTATCAATAATTAATTTTTGCTTATTTTAGCTTAATTTCTACTTCACATTTTCAGAGGGAGGGAGGGAGGGAGGTTGAGTTGAGCCAACACAAAATAATTCGGTCATGATTATAGATCGATTGCTGTGATTCTATTTTGTGTTTGATTAGTCACAAATCATGATTGGATGGATGGGATGGCCCTGTTGATATTTGAATTCTTTTTTGTTTTTTTTTTTTTTTTTTTCTTTCTTAATTTTCAAACAATTTTTAACTCTGACGCCCAAGTCCTGGACAGTGCCCTTAAGGCATTGTTTGGCATCATGGGTTTTTGGAAAGAAAAAAAAAAAAAATACTCAAATACGGATTATTCTGAGCTCTTTTTTTTTTTTTAAAATAAAAAAATAAAATTCATTGAATAAAAATATATTTGTTTAGGCATTGTTTGTTCAAAAAATAATAATTTGGGCCAAAAGTCAATTAAAAAGCCTATATCTATTTGTTGTTTTTTTCCTTAAAAATTGATTTTTTTTAAATAAAAAAAACTTTTTTTGCTTTATTTTTAAAAATTATGCACAATGTGCACTTATGGCCAGTAAGGCTATGTTTGGCCGGCACAAACATTAACATAGCCTTAACGGTTATAATTTTAAAAAATTGATTTTTTAATTTTTTTTTGTTTTTTTATAAACTTAAAAAATCATTTATTTTTTATAAATACCTAACTTACGTCACTTAGCTATTAGGAAAAAGTTTTAAAAATTAAATTTTTTTTTAGAAAGCAAAAATTAGAGAACGTAATAAAACGCCTGTTTTTGAAGAGCCAAATGCTGACATAGTTTTTAAAAAAACTAAAGTAACATTTTTATAGAGCAAAAATCTCAAGAGGCTGGTGGATGCTCGGGATAGGTCAGTTCCCACCCGAGTGGACCAGCACATAAAAGGAACACAACTCTCTCGTTACTTAGCAATTTGGGTGGGCCAACCTCAATGGTAGTCGTTTTATTTTAACAAATCAACAAAGTATCTGTCCTTTGGGCTCGAGTTGAAGATTGGGTCAGGTTCGGACTAGGGTTGAAACTTATAAAACCTTCAAACCTTTTGTTGGGATCAATCGTGGCCCCAACATCAAAGGCCAACACTACTTGTGGCCATCACTCCACCTCATTTATTTTCTATTTATTTCACTTTGCTACATTTATCTAATTTTTTTTTTCTTTTTTTCTCTAAATTACTACAAGTATATAAATCGACTTATTTAAAGAATAACTACGACTATTTCTAAATTTAAATCAATCAAGACCAATTATGTGAGTTAAAGTGTCATTCATTTATACCATTTTCATACTTAAAAAAATCATATTTTAATTTTAATTTTAATTTAAACAAAAGGTCCTTTGGCATAAATTTGATTTAGGAATTTTATATCTAGCACCAAATTAAACAAAATAACAATAAAATAGATAATCCCATTCACTCCATTGAGTGGGATCCTACAAGTTATCATAAAAGTATTAACTGGGGAAGGCATCCCCTTTTCATCAACTGGGGAAGGCTGAAGCTACCCCTCTCTCTCTCTCTCTCTCTCTCTATATATATATATATTTATATATATCTCACACTCACACACTACAAACCCACAACATCGAATTTTGGGCCAATGGCTTCAACTTTCATTAATCAGATAGAGACCACCCCAATTGCAGGTTAGTCGCTTGAATCCATAACCACGATCTCTTCTATTTCACTTCAATTAAACGATCGATCATGTTGAACTCTGTTTCTCTATCTTCTGCAGATGAGGATCATGAACATCTACTGGTGGTGGATGTGGAAGCGGGCGACGCTGAAACCAAACCGAAATTTCTAATTCGAAATTTGACGAAAGTGTCAGATTCGGGAACTCCGATATTGCAGGAAGTCAGCGCCGATATACCCAAGGGCATGATCGTGGGGATCATAGGCCCCAGCGGTAGCGGGAAATCAACGGTGTTGAGGGCTTTGAACCGGTTGTGGGAGCCGCCTCCGCGCACGGTGTTTCTCGACGGCCGCGACATTCGAGAACTTGACGTTCTTAGCCTCCGACGTAAAGTCGGCATGCTCTTCCAACTTCCTGCTCTTTTTGAAGGTTAGTTACCTACACTTTAAAATTAACTGGAATTTTATAGTATCAGAATTCATGTTGACACAATGAAAAATGGCACTATGTTTTCACTTCTTTTCATTTTTTTAGTTCTTTCTGCTATAGATCTAATAAATTCCTGTACTAATTGATAAGTGATGCGCTAGAGGTTAGAAACTTAGAAGTGAAAACTTAAATTGATTCATAAGTTTTTTTTTTTTAAAACAGTATTTATATGAAATAAAAATGTCGAACATTTTATCTATGGACATTAGCTAGTGTTACAAGTGTCCCCTGTGGGATGGGTCGGATCGCGAAACATCCACCCGTTGGTATCAGTGCCCGACTCAATTTCCTGTCCGATGTCACGTGAAGCGCTCGGCTCGGAGGTGTATGGGTTGGGTATTAGCCCCACCTATTTTGGGTCTGATTGTAGTAAATGTTTGGCAGCTTATTATTGTACTAGTATTAAAGAATAAGGGGGTAAAATCATAAAACCCTGTGAAATTTATGCATAAAACCCCTTGTACTAAGAAAACTTCAAAAAGTTGTCAAGTTACCCTCTTCCCGTTACACTAAACTGCTTACTCTTCATATAACCAAAATGCCCCTGTATTTATCCTTTTCAGCTTGTAAATTAAAATTAAAACAGTAAGGTAAATTTTGTCATTTCACAGCCTAGTTAACAGATACATTACATAATGGAGTAAAATGATCACTTCTGTTAGTAGTGGGGGTTATTTGATACTACTGGGAGTTATATGATTATTTGGAATAATACAAAGGGGTTTTATGATTTTACCTCAAAAAATAATTACATGTGAAAAAGGGGGTTTAGATTGGTCACAGTAAAGATGAAACTGACAAGCTTGAGAATGCAGTTTGAGTATGAGAGTAGGCAATGTTTTGGAATTTATGTCAAAAGTGTATGTGTGGCGTACCAGCAGCATCAGATCAGACACAACTTTGAGGCACAAAGAAAATAAATGACACCCCTAAAAGTTGAATTTTTGTAAGGTAGCATATTGTTTCTAAGCATTGGATTTGCAACGCGTGAAAAATTGTACATTTTGCTGTCAGGGCTTAATTTGGAAACACCATAAGAGAGAAATTTTGATTTTTGCTTGGATAGTACACTTAAAAAGATTATTTATTTCTTTCTTTTATGTTAATTCTTCCATTCCTCCTTGATATCTGACTGGGATTCTTTGAAATATGTTACATTTTTGGCCCTCAAAAAAGTTCAAAAGTCGAAGAAGGTTTCGCTGAGTCTAGGTGACAAGATTACAATATATGACCATATAAAAGATAGACAGTCATCTTTTTTATTTGTGGGGGGAGCAATTTTTCTAATTTTGCTGTAAGCACTCTGAAGTAATTTGTTGATCGAGGAATAATACTCCCACTTCTTGCCTTGTTGCTGAGTCTTCTAAGAGAATCTAAGTCCTTCACATTTGTTTTAAGGTAACAATGGGTGGGTTGAGTGCTTATGGCAACGGGTGGGCTTGACTTGGACTCGCGCTACTTGTTTAACAAAATACAAAAATGCTAAATATGAACTCAACCTATTTGGAATTGAACCTGACCCGAACCTGAACCTGATGCGAACCCGACTGTTCAAATTATTATTACTACTATTATTTAATTATAAAAAGAAAATTTTAAGAGTTATTATGCATCTTCAAATAGTTCATTACTAATATAAACTACAGTATAATCAATAAACTTAGTAAGTAATAATGATATATCATATAATGGACAGAGACATTGTTATAAACTTTAGTTATTATTTATTTTTATAGAAGTATGGCATAACGACATACCAAAAAAGTATATTGAAGAGACTTGTTGCATCAGATGGAGAAATTGAAAATAGTTAAAGAACCTCAACCTGAAAGCACATGTCTTCGGATATAGGTAGGCACCCCCTGATTTGGATTCTCTAGATAAGCTGCATCATTAGTTGTAACAACTCAGTGACAGCAATTGAGGTCCCGTTACTGATTAAACTGCATCGTCAATTATAACAACATAGTGACAGCATTCGGGTCCCATTATTGGTACATGTTAAGTGTATGATTGGCCTGCCTTGAATAAGTTCTCTGCATCAACAATCAAATAGATTGCAATATTCCTTCTTTCGTGACTGGTTAAGGGTATCTCCACTAGAAGGGGTACCATTTGTATAAAAGCTGCCTATGCACATGGTGCAGGTAAAGAAATGGCATCAGGCATAAGGTTGTCAGGGTTTGTGGGAGATTTTAGCTCCGCGTGAGGCCCTAGCCTTTATCCCACATTTGGCTGCAGAGTGTCTTCCTACCATTCCCAGACCCCGTAATGGTGGGAGCGTCTTTACCATCCTCATTATAATGACTATTGTTTTTTTTTTTGGGAAGAGAACCTTGTCATGTTAGCAGTTCACATCATCATAGGCATATATGGATGCTCAAGGACAGCCTCACGCACTGTGTATGAGTATTCACTTGTCAATGTTTGAGTGGGGTATGAGAATTAGGAAGTCATGATCTTCATTATCATGTCTCAGCAAGTGTGAGATGCAACACTCTGTCATGTCATTCCTTGTGCAGCACCAAATACCCGTCCACGATTTCATATAGATGTCCCATGGCAATTGCTGTGTGATTTCTTCTGAAAGTTAGTGTAGTGTGTTTTATTAAAGTATGCATCAGTCATTGATTTAAGATCTCAACTCGAGAGGGTTGACGTATTAAAATCTTCATGAGTTCAAGAGTAGGCCAACATAGCCTCCTTGGTATCAGCAGTTCATCATCCTTTACAGTCATGCTTTGAAGTACATGGAATGAACATGTGTGATCCAAATTCCATGACTGCACAATGCATAAGTGTTTGTGCTGCCTCTTTCTCCAAAAACATGTTCAAGCATGTCCAACGTGTAATTGACCCATATAGTCCGTCATTAGCTGTTGTCGCCTTACTGGAAGTAGTGGGAGTAGCAGTAGCCACAGGACAATGACTTCTTGTTATTGAGGAATATAGATTATGGTGAACCACTCAGTCACAGTAGCAGTACCTTGTTTTTTATATGCATAGCCTACTGAGAAACCTATATGTGATTAACATACACGATGGTCGCCCAACCATGATACTGTATTCTCAGGCACAGTTGCAGATAACATACGGTACGGACCACAATTAAGAGGGCAGAAGTTAACTGACAATGAGATACACAAGTTGCTTACCCTTGCTGACCTCGATTCCACATTTTTCAATAAAAATGGGGGTGAATTATCTGTCGGTCAAGCTCAAAGAGTTGCACTTGCAAGAACCCTAGCCAACGAGCCAGAGGTAACCCAATTGATACAATTCCATCTGTGTTCATAAACTTGGTTCAAGTTCTTCTAGACATTGTCATGCTAATTCTAAATTTTGCTGTGTGTGATAGGTTTTGCTGCTGGATGAACCAACAAGTGCCTTGGATCCGATATCGACCCAAAATATAGAAGACGTGATAATGAAATTGAAGAAAACTAGGGGAATGACAACTATTATGGTCTCGCACAGCATTAAACAGATCCAGAGGATTGCTGATCTAGTGTGCCTCCTTGTGAATGGGGAAATTGTTGAAGTCTTGAAACCTAATGAACTATCCAAAGCCAAGCATCCCATGGCACTAAGGTTTCTTCAGCTCAGCAATTAGTTTCTTAATGAATTTGATGTGTGTAAAAGTCGCTAAATACTACTATTATCCTTTGATGTGTGCTTTTAGTTCCCATAATACTTGGCGTAGTGGCATTGCATTCCCACTATTTATCTGTCACACCAATGATCATGCAACTACTCAGACATTCTCTGTTTGCTCTGTTTGAATATGCCAATGAAATATTTATGACTTCGATGCATTTTAGTTAAGTCACTTCAAATTATTCCCAAATACTGTCATTTACTATTCATGAAAAGAAACTAGTGGAGTAATATTTTGTAATCCAGTGAGAACACTCCCATTTAACAAACCTGTGTCTTCTCAACCATTTGATTGAGATAGACGGGCTCTTTTGATTGAGAAAAGAGTTACTATCCTATTTTATGAGTTTGTCACATATGGATGGGTCGGTTACATAATTTTTTATTTATTTTCATTCTTTTCTTTAATAAACTACGCTTTTGTACAAAATTTAATTTAAAAAAATCATTTTTAATTACTATCTTCCAGATAAGCTTTGGTGACCGTCCCGGGCATGTCTACGTTTAACCATAGCCTAAGGTTAACCATAGATAAAACTGTAATTTGTTAACCAATTCAAATCGCTTGTGGTCTAGTAATATCAATTGGCAGGACAAATGGGGATTCGAGTTTCTTGCCCTAAAAAAATAATAATAATAAAATTTGAGACTCACTGCAACTAGAGGAACTTCTAACAAACTAAGAGAGAGAACAAAAATTAGGGACAATTAAACCGACCAAATATCATTTCTAAGTCCTCTTTTGTTCTTAGCCATTTGTTTTTTTCTCATTCCTTGCCTTTCCCATGTGAGGGGTTCTACGAGTTTGTCCTATCACTGTATTCCCTACCCAAATAAATGAATCAATAAAAGATACTACCATATAATAATTATATACGTAACTACCAGTACTAACTATTGGCTACGATCATCATCTAAATCTACAATGGCAGTCTTGAATCTCTCGATACGGACCGTACAGCTGGCAGTGAATGAGATTGAGAAATCCAAGCCAACCATCTCGAAACAAGGCCGGTCTGTCGTTCTTGTTCCTGTAGCTGTTGGTGGTTATTACTCGTCCTGTCTGAGAACCTGCTTAACCCCGTGATTTCCGACACACTTCTCGAATTTATTACACTCCTGCCATTCTGATGATTCTGCCACCCATTATTCCCATTAATGCCCTCACTATTCCGGTGCTGCGCCACCACCTCATGCTGATGGTGCACATCCCTTGCCGATGTCCGTGATCCCAATGACAATCGACGGCTATCGCTTATGATCATTTCGGACCGTAGATACAGCAGATCAGACGGCTGTACGTCGCTCCATCTCTGCTGGAGCCCCCTTGACCCACCGGATACTATGATCCTGTGCTCGAACCGGTGTTCGAAACTTGTCCGGTCGGCGGCTAATCCTTCAGTTAACAAAAGTCCGTCTTTTCGGTGGCGGTCAAAGCATCCGACGGACACGGTTTCGTTGCTCTTCTTTCTCGTTTTAGAAACGTCGAGTGATCTTCTAGACGACGTCGGATCATGAGTCTCCGACTCGGTTGGTTCGTTGCTCTTCTTTCTCATTTTAGAACTGTCGAGTGATCTTCTAGACGACGTCGGATCATGAGCCTCCGACTCGCTTGTCCTCTGTAGATTAATCTGTAGATACCCCGTTCCTCTCTCGCCGGCGGACGAGTGTCTCCCCGAAACTCGCCGAAAACCGGACGATTCTATTCCATGCTGTTCCACTTCTTGCGGTGGCGGCTGTGGTGTGTCGTTTTCGACGAGGAGAATGTCTTCCGGGTCGACCCGGTAGCGGCAGAGAGGGCAGGTGGAGTGGGCGTCGAGCCAGGTGTCGACGCATTCCACATGGAAGGCGTGCTTGCACTTGGGGAGCAATCGGAGGACCTCCATGGGCTCGAACCGGTTCAAGCAAACCGCGCATTCGAGTCCGTCCTTCTGGCCCCTGAGCGACTTGAACCGGAAAATGGGGAGCAAGTCGACCACCGCTCGGTCAATGCCAGAGTGCTTCCTGGCGGCGGAGGTAGTGGGACCTCTGGAATTGGGGCCTTCATCGGCGTACCCATTTCCCCTCTTGCAGTGCTTCGCGTAGAGAAGTAATAAAAACGTGACTGAGAACATGGTGGTCAGAACTCCGACGATCACGGCTATGCTGGGTTTAAACGGCGAAGACGAATTCGATTGCGGAGGAGGTGGTGGTGGTATTGGTGAAGGAGGATTAGAAAACGTTGGAACATCGCCACCATAATCACCTCCATTTGTGGGAGCCATTGGAGGTATAATCGAACAGGTTCTTGTTATAACGAAGAACAAAATAGAGAGCCTCTGGAGCATGAAAATGCCCATTTTCAGGCCCTGATTGGAAAGGAGTATGTATTTTCTAAGCAGAAAAAGGGATTGTGGGGGAGGATTAGAGATTCTACGAGATGGGTCTACAATAAAGATACAAAGGAGAGAAGACAAAGGCATCTAATAACTCACTTGATTGAACCTATTATAATTATTACTGGGATACGAAGAGAAAGGATATATAAAAAAGATAGAAAGAGAGCGACAAAGACAATTACAAAACTAGAGAGAGAAAGAAGAGAGAAAGACTACCGGCCTATCGTAATCAGAAAAGGGGCTTTTCTTTTCTCTGTAACAGAAAGAGATTGAATTGTAGCTGCAGATGAAATAGATGACGGTGGAGAGATCTATATCTATAGCCGCCGCTCAGAAACTCTGTGAAAAAAACACGTGATGTATGTGATTAAACAGAAAGAAACGAAACGAAACGAAACGAAGAAGGAGATGATGGTGGGGATGGGTCCACCACCTCCGCAGTTAAGATTGCTGAGGCAGTGGATCTGATCTGAACCACAACCACACCTGACCTGAATATGACCGTAACTCAAGCTCTCTGCGTCCAAACAAACAGGAGACACATGTTTGGCGCTGCATACCCCAACGGTCCAACTAGGACAGAAAGGGGTGTGCGTGTGAAATGTGAACGTGATGTGTACCCCATGAATGACTGTTTTGTGTGTCTTAAGTGTGACACATTACACTAATTCTGGGGACATAATACCCTTCATTTTCATATACTAATCTAATCTACCTTTGAAGATAACGATGGAGGTCTTGTTCGCACTCCAAAATTATATCTAGACTCTATTTTTACCAATATATATTTATAAATTAAATGATAAAATTAATTCTTAATTATTGTAAAAGGTTTCCTTCTTTTTTTTTTTTCTCCACTTTGATCTCGACTACTCTCTTCATTTATTCTCTCTCATTTTTGTATGCTTCCATTTCACTCCCACTGAATCACCAACCCCTGTCATTTACCTATACATATTTATGAAATATTAATTATTTTGTGTACAATATTCAATAGTAAATGTGAATATGATAATTCCGTTATTTTCATTAGTGTGAATATTTAGAATTATATGGAAAAAAAAAAATTAAAAACAGTAGGGTTCATTTCTATCCGATTTGAAAAAAAATATACTTAGCACACAAAATGAAATAATGTCAGAGTACAAAAAAAAAAAAAAAAAAAAAAGAAGAAGAAGAAGAAGAAGAAGAAGATTTTTAAAGATAATATAAACACTACACAGTTTATGATTATAACCGTTAAAGTTTTTATTATGTGGTGCTTTTTTTGTTGTCCTCGTCTTCATCATCAACAATTTTTTTTCACTTTCTCTTTGTATTATTCGGATTAAACTTTCTTTAAAAAAAAAAAAAAATGAAAGCGCAGACAATGATTTGTGCAATCCATATGCCAAGTAGAAGTTGAAAGATGGTTGGGAGAGATGAGAGAAAGGAATGAAAGAGAACCAAAACACAGAATATATGAAGAGTGAGTTGAAGGAGCCGGGAGTCGTATCGGGGAGAGAAAAAAAAATTAGAGAACAATTTTATTGAAACAATTCAGAATTATTTTTGTCATTTAACTTAAAAGATGTAGAAGTGGAACGCCATACTATAATTTTAGAGTGTCAATAATATCAGCTCCTTAAAAGAATTCTCATTTTAAATTGTAATGGGAAGAGTGCTAGAATTGAATTCCTTATTCTAAAAAAAAATAAATTTGAACAAATTGAATTATTTTTAAAAAATATATATATTTTTTACTCTAATTAGGGATCACACGCTAGTGCATAAAAGAATTTATAGGATTATCAAATATAATTTATGTTATATTTAGGAGTATTAAATTAGTATATTGGAATTAAAATTAAAGAAAAATTAATTTAAAATTTTAACTAATATATATTTTTTTAATTCTAAAAGAGAATTTTCCCACAGGCATCCATTTTTGTCAAAATGTTATGGGTGAATTTATGTGCTATTGTTGATCTTAGTTTTACAAAGTTGGAATCACAATAGTAGTGGTTTCATCATCCCAATATGAAAGAGAATAAAGTTAAACATAATTTTTTCCTGAATAAAGTTAACATAATTGAGAATTGCTTTCATAAAAGGTTGTACAATTATCAAACTAAAGTCAATCGATGATAGAGGCTTGCTAAACAAGCCGACTTTTTATGTGATATTTCATCCATCATTCATTTTTGTGATATTTCATCAATCATTCATAAACAAATTTAATTGCCTCCAACTAAGTTTTTATTTTAAGTATTATTTTTTTTTATACCTTTTTGTTTTCCTTTAAATTATTGTTACATCTATTTAGACACCAACAAATCTTATCATCCTATCTGTTATATATATATAATATTTTATTTCTTTCTTTTTTTCCTTTATAAAAATATATTATATTGGCATTAGTATCCTAGATTATCTTTGGGAATTGGGATCGAATTTGAATGCATTGTCGGTTGTCTTCTAGAAAAAGAAAGACGAACCATTTCACTTTATTTTATACTTCAATAATACAACCTTTAAATTATTATTTCCAAATTATAAGTGTCAATAATGTCTGAAAAATTCAAAGTAGATAGCTCGATGACAAAAATCTCAATTTACATTATTTTATTTTTTCAAAATTGTGTTTATTACGGAGTAGTTATAAATGTTTAGGTACCGTTTGGTTAGATGAAAACCCATCCAAGAAGAAAAAGCGAAACCGCGTTATCTTTTCAGAGACAGAACACGTATGTCCGAAAATGCAGTGTGCTACTCCAGTCATGGAGTGCAGATTATTCTTGGGAATCCATTCCACCGAGAACAAACACAAGCTTCGGCCCACCAATCTTTCGAATTCTTCTACATTCAAAACCCTATCCCGGAAATTAAACACGAGAATTCATCAGCTTAATCGAAAAGTTCATCGGATTTCTTACCGAAGCAGTCCCGTTAGGTGAGTTGCAATTATGTTCCCACCAACCTGCGATGCTTTCTTGTTTAATGTCTTTTAAATAAATCTGTTAGCAAGTATGAATCTGACCTGTTTGATGAAATGCCCGTGTCTGATTATACCAGTCGATGCTCTTTTTCTTTCCATCAATTTCTGCATCTACTCGTCTTGCTCGGAATTTTATTGAGCACTGTAAATATCAGTTTAGAAAGTAAAAAGATATTGTGATAAAGTTGTCTTTGATGTTTTGGATTGTTCCATTGGACATTTTAGCATGACATGTTTATCTAAAGGTTGAACTATTGGCAGACGCCTAGCCCATGATGCTAGAAGTGACATAGAGCCATTCAAAACTAAGGGGGCATTCAAATATATAGATACTTTGCTTGATCAGTGTTGATGAAAATCCATTTTCTTACTTGCATATTTTTGTTAAAAGGAATTGCCCTTTACATTGCAGGTGACATACAGCCTTGACTAGAAAAGTATTGGGTTAACCCTCTTCTTGAATTTGCCTGCGACGATATGAAAGTTAAATGAATGGATAAGCGGGTATTTGCTGTCAAGCCTAGATTTGATGGCATTGTTGGGTATTACATATGCAGGTGTTAAGCTCAGGATTTCTCATAGTATATGATGTATATCAATATCATTAGAAGAAGTCTTGTTCAAGTTTCTAATTTTGACGTCAAATTTTGATTTTTGATTTTATTATTATTATTATTATTATTATTATTTTTGTGTTTCTTACTGCTATCTAGGCTAGTCTTTTCCTTTACTCATGCATTATGATGTTATAGAAGAAGCAGAATTCTTGAGACCACTGGGGTTTTGGATTGTCGAAGTAGAAGTATGTCATTCAGAGAAGGCCTTATATCGACTACAAAACCCATAAAATTCAATCATCAGCATGGAAACTTAAAGAACAAATAAATTGTGACTTGACAAGACTCTATATCTTTACTATTCGAGTCTGAAGTGGATCCTGCATCATCTAGAATGTGTCGAATCAAGATCGGTCCTTGGAAGCATCCTTCTCAAATCTTTTATACACTTGTTTATCTTAATCAATGATAATGGCTCTAATTCTAGTAGTGCCCCTGCACGACAGATTAAATTGGACATTGAAATGTTCCAGATATATGCAATTATGCACATAACCTAAATACTAAATAGGAAGTGGTGTGTTACTGGCCCATCTTATAAATGGGATATTGGGTGCCTAAACCTGGACCACCACCAAAATCCTCACAAGGCAATAAAATATAAATCTGCTCCAACTTATCCCTATCAAAATGTTCATTATCTGAGTGTTTTTTCTTTTTTTTTTTTTTTTTTTAATTTTTTTTTTTACCATTGCTATTTTCATATTATTGTCAAATTTAAAGTGTATCCACATACAGTTGCTATCTAACCAATAAGTTCTTGTTTAGGGGCATATTGAATTTCGCTTGGTCTAGAACATTTAGCATGTCATGGACCCGGGCTTCTCGGATAATCTCTGTTTACTTGTTCTGCCTCAATCTTGTTGCGGAGGCTCGTGATGATCCATATTCTTCACTTGCATATGCTTGTGAAGATGTTCAAATTTATTATGATGGTGTGGAGCACTTGAGAGGTGAAGCACTAAAGAAAAAATTGAATTCCATCATTGGCAAGCACCGTTCATTGTCCTACAACAAGGTGTCCATTCATGAGAATTTTTTTCCCCTAATATTGCTACTCCTGCTGTTGCACTACTATTACCACAACTACTATGCTGAGAACCCATATTGTTTCTGGAACTCTTTATACACACACACATATACATTCATATATTAAACTCTGAAAAATAGGTATGGGATGCCCTCAAGATTCTTGATGCAGCTGATGTTGACAAACCGGAAGCTTCATCAGAAATGTGAGTGCTCATCATATCTGATATTTTTTTGATTGTAGCATTTACAATATGAGTCCCACTTTGACACGTTATTTTTTTATGTACAGAGTTGAAATTTACTCCTTAAGAGCTGTCTCAAAGCACTTAGCAGGAAAACCAGAAGGATGGAACAGTGAGATACTTTACTAGATTAGCAGCAGTTGCCATAGTTCAGTGCTTCTGTTTGACTTGTTTATTAGATTTACATACAGAGATAAATGTTTCCAATGGTTGTGCTACAGTTAGCACCAATGTTGATACAAAGGTGACACTGACCAAGTTGGGTTTGATACCACATTATGTTAATGTGTGAACATCACCCACTCAATCTTTTAATGGAGATGACATGCTACTATAGTTGCAACCCAGTAACCCATGCTATGCCAGGATTGCAGGAACCAATTTTATTGTTCAGTTTTGTTATTTATTTATTTATTTATTTTTTTGAATCTTTGTATTATGACAATTTTAAAATTCCAGAAGATAAACATATGAATGTTTTTATGTGCGGAAATATGTTATAATATATTAAAGATTTTGAAAAACGAGAGAAAATTCATTTTTTTATTATCAAAATATAGGAAAATGTTTTAAAACTCACAGTATAGGCATTGCCTATATACATGTATACACACATATATCAAGAGGAGGGATCCACTTACCTTTAGTGTCCAATTAATAGTTCTATAGTTCATTTAGAGCCACATATATCTAAGAAATCTGTCGCTGACGAAAATGAGTACTATTCCTTTTCATTTCCAGCTGGACCCCTTTTTATTTTAGTTGGATTAATTGTCCAACTTTGGTTGGATTAATGCAATGGCCTTCAATAGAGTAGTATGGCATTTAGATAGCGCGGAATGGCGAATCAAGATTCATATATAGTTGACCTCAAATAATTGTCACTGCTTGGATGAGTTAACTGAGAATTGTCCAGCTCTTACTTTTAGGTATATCTTCCTTCACCTGAAGCATCTTCTTCTTCCTCTCCATTCAGGCACAAAGTGAAATACTTGGATTCTTAGATAAAGTCATGTTCTACTATTCTATATTCTTCTCTTCTTCTCCTTCTCTTCTACTTCTTTATTTCTTCAAATGCATCTGTCAAATGGCATTGAAAATAGTCAGGCTTTAATAGATTTTCTCAAATCCGATTTTCAAAGTTCTGCAATTTATAGCATGTATTAAGTTTGAGTCACACAATGAGACTTTAGGAGAATGTGATCAAGCAACAACTAAGACTTAAAACTTCAGTGTTGGAAAAGCAATTTGGATTTATGACAAGGATGAATTAAAGGATTTCAATTTGTCTGGACTATAAAATTATTTGCATAAAAAATCCAATAACTAGATTAAAGGAGTTAAATGTGTCTTGATTTATATATGGTATATTTGTCTCTTTTTCTTTCCAGATGCATTTATATTATTATTGATTGCCTTTATCGTTTATACTCTCGGCTCATTTACAACTTTTTAGCTCACCCAGTACCAGTCTATCCATGATCTGATCCTGAATTTTGTTGATGCTGCCAAATTAAATTTCTTATTAGTTTGTTGCCTGCTTATAAGTTGCAGCAGGTGTCGAAGAATTCATGATACCATTTTTTTTTCAGGGGAGCATCTATGGCCTAGATCTTATGGGTTAACTAACGGTCCATCTTTAACTGATTTACACAATATTCGCCCAGCAGATGTGAATGGTAAGATGGATTTCCCTCTTGTTATGACTGTGAGGGCTGTTTCATTAAACTTGATATAATGTATTAACATTGTTAAAGATTGTTGCAGTGAATTCATCAAGGGGAAACAAGTACTATGGAGAATGCCGGATTAATTCGAGCCACTGTCTAAAGCCAGCAACCAAAGAAGCTGCATCTGACACAGAAACAGACAAGAAGAGATGGGCACCACCTGTGCAGGTTTATTCTTTGCTATAATATACTTTGGTATATTTGGATTCTTTATGTTCTCTAGCTAGAATGGGTTGATTGTTACAACGCCACTGTTAGTTTTTAGCATAATTAAGGCTGTCAACAAGCTGAGGTTAGCTTTCCTCACTTTTGACAGATTGGTTTGCACATTTTCTCTCCCACATTGTACCTCAACTGCGTTATTTCTTCTTTTAGTGAGATTGGCAATCATGCCTTTGTCTCATTGAGTTCTCCATTAGTTAGAGATTTTCTAAGGTTCAATTGTGTGGCCTATTTATTATTAGAGATTCTCTCGCTTTAATTTTAGCTTGCAATTAGGCCGTGACATCCACTTCATCATCATCATCTAGTTATTCTTGTTTTCTTCAACTGTTAGTGAAGAACCCAGTAAAACTTGAAACCTGCTTCAGTCTATTCTCTACTTGCTCCACTTTGTACAATTCTATTTTGTTCATAAATGATTTTCTATGCCTTGTGAATCCAGGTTAGAGGGGATATTGCAAGGGCTTTAATGTATATGGCAGTATGTTATGGGTTTCATCCGTCAGGTGAAGGCCATGATCTTCACCTATCTGATTCTCCAAGCATCGGTATGTTAAAAGAAATCAAATAATGAGTTCTTCTATCATCTCTTTCTCTGTGTGTGTGTTTGCGAGTGTGGAAAATATAAATCATTGCTGAGATAAAATATTGGTTTGAATGAAAATGGTTAAATGACCTCAAGTGGGTGAGTCACTTGGCCCCCTAGTGCCTCAAGAAGCATCAGCTCTAAGGTTCGACTTCTCTTGGGTGCAAACAATTCCTTGAAAAAAAATGGTTAAATGACTAGACATCATTTAACCATTCGAATGAATGAAAATGCTAAATCCTTTACAATATTCCTGCTTTTTCTTTGCTAGCTAATTTTTATTATGATATAAGTGTAGGACACTTAACACTATTGGAAAATTGGCATGTCATATACTTGTCAACACTTGCCTGGACACTCACAAAACACTCCCCTTTATTTACTGAAGTATAATATCATCAGTGTCACGCTTTGTTGAGAAACTTGTTATTTAATCTTTTTATTGTTCCACCATCTATTGTTTATTTGCATCCTAAGAAGCATGGACACGGATACGGGACACGACACGGACATGGCGACACTGAAAATCCAAAAAAATTAGGACACAGACACAGCGGGGACACGGCGAATAGTATATGTGTGTGTGTGTGTGTGTGTGTGATGTAGTACTTTAAAAATTACTGAGTGTTACTATTTTTCATCAACCTCACAATGAAAAAAAAAACACAAATCATAACTCATAACTAATAAACTATAAAAGAACAATGTTGCATAGTTATAAAACCAAATAACAAGACATTAGAATAATAACTAGTATCATTTAATCATCATTGCAACTTTACTCCAATTACAAAAGCATAGACAGAAAGGACTATTAACATTCATGACTATTTAACATTCAGGACTTTACTATTAGCACTTAACATTCACAAAAACCTAAAGGCTAGTCCCCAAAAAAGATACAAAAACAAGTCAGTGTACTATCATCTATTCCCATCCATCATTTGAGCTAGGACTTTTACCATTTACAATACCAATAGGGTAGTACAAAACAAAAAACAGAACATATCAGCATTAAAAATTAAAATAAAAAAAAAAAAAAAAAAAAAAAAAATTCCAGACGTGTGTCCGCGGAGTGTCCGAGCCGTGTCCGAAAATTAAAAAAAATTAAAAAATTTCAGACACGTTTTTTGGTGTGTCCGACACGTGTTGGACACGGATTCTTCGCCCATTTTGGCGTGTCCGTGCTTCCTAGTTTGCATCCAAATACACCTAAGGTATTTGTTGAACATAGCAAAATTGCAGAAACACAAATTACAAAATGACAGACAAACACATGTCATTGTATCCCTGTGCCTATATTTTGTGGAGTACCCAAGCTCCAATGTCTGCATTAAAATGTGGCAATTGTCTGTGTCCATAAATCACATCCTATGGAAGATTTCTACTAGAAGGGAATTCCTCTTTTTGAAAACAACCTTAAAGAAAGTACTTCATCTTCATCTACTCTCTACAACTGGCTTGTCTTGAGCTTTTATTTTTCATGATTTATCACTTATCTTACTTGTAGGATTGGATTTGGATATTAGCTAATATGCTGTTATGTTTAACTTTTCATCATCTAGCTATGAGTAAAGTAGTTCAATTGTGCGCAAACTCCATGCTTGGCGGGTCATTAAACTAATATTGTTCAAATGTTTTAAATTAGATCACTGAAATAACAACAATGAACATGAAATCAAAAAGAGAAATGAAAAGAAAAGAAATATGTTGTCTCTCTGTATAGCGTAATTGCATTTTTATCTTACATTTCTTGGTTACAAAAAGATAAAGAAAGGAGGGACGGGAGAATGCAACACGATGTTATCGGAGGAAATACTGATATAAGTACTGAGATGGTTTCTTTAACTTGTTATAGTCAAGTTTTAATGAATCACGTTGGAGGCTTGGAGTCAACTATATTTCTTTTTCTTATTTTAAAATTTATTTATTTATTTTGAACCAAAAAGGGCATAAAAGTTTGGAGTCAACTATATAGGAAGTTTGATGAAGAAACAGATTCATGTGGAGTGAAGTCTGTTGTTAGAGTGGACTATGTGTCTGGAGATTCGAATGCAGAGTTTGGTGGATCAGTCTGTGTTCCACTCGGGGTTATGGGGTGTGTGAACTTTAACTTAGTGTAATATCTCCTTCTAATAGTGGATTTTTTATTTGATTGGACTAAGTCCCGTGATTTTCTTTTTCACTTAAAAATCTTGGTGTTTGTTATTCATGCTTTATACTGGTTTAATTTACTTCAGTTTGAATGTTTGTTATGGTTGGCATGATGAATTGACTGGTATATAAAATTTTAGTTTTAATTTAAATTTCTGATTTCAGTAACTTGGTTAAATATTCAAAAGGTTGTTAAAAGTAGTTAAAGCTACCAGTCGCAAACCTGATATAACTTGGGACTCTTTAAATTGCTTTATACTGGTTTAATTTATTTCAGTTTGAATGTTTGTTATGGTTAGCATGATGAATTGACTGGTATATAAAATTTTAGTTTTAATTTAAATTTCAGATTTCAGTAACTTAGTTAAATATTCAAAAGGTTGTTAAAAGTAGTTAAAGCTACCAGTCACAAACCTGATATAACTTGGGACTCTTTAAATTGGCATTAGCTTTGCTAATAGCCTATATGGCTTATTTTACTAGCCTCTACAGCTTATCTCTGTTAGCCTCCGTGGGTTTTTACTGTTAACGTCCATGACTTCTCCATCTACCTCTATGACTGGTTGTAAGCTTTACGATTTATTATTGTCAATCTCCATGAATTCCAAGGTTTACCTTGTCTAATGGCTCACCCATTGTTGCTCATGGCACTTTTGAGTCTCCAACTCCACAACAACTCATTTTCTTGCACCATCTAGAGCTTCTCACCAGGAGATCTTCACTTTTGGGATAGTCACTTCTCCTAGTATGCTTTTTTGCTCCAAATGTGCTCCAAACCTATTAATCACGTCTCTTCCATCTTATCTTTCCATTAGTGTTTGGAGTAAATGATGCTGTAAGGTAGGGAGCTAAATACAGCTATGTGGTTCCACTCCTTACTGCATGAGTATCATGGGCAATCACTCACCATTTCATGCTTTGACACATTACCCTGTGGTAGGATGTTGTAGTTTAGTGGACCAAGAGGGAAGTACTGGCGTCTAGGAGATGATACCACGTGGCAGAAGCATGTATATCAGAGTCATTTTGGTTGTTTCCATCTCCCTTACAACTTGTTGCTGATCTATGGCTAGCAGGTTCAAACATGAGGAGATAGTGGCACACAGTTATTGGACACGTATCGCTATATCCGTTGTTATTCTTCACATATACGTAGGCAACACGTGGCCTTATCTGTAAATACCCTCTACTTATAAATAGGACGTCTTCTCTCCACTTATTCAATAGACGGGCTGTTCTCTCACCTCTCTCCTTGGCTGCTATTTGCATTGGTGTTATAGACCTTCACACCAACGTAATCTATTTTGCCATTATAAATAGTTTTTAATACTCCTTATAATATATACATGATTACATCCTAAATGAAGTTTTCATGGAATTAAAAAAAAGAAAAAGAAAAAGGAAGAAAATTTATAAAGATTATCCCATTGCTCTATTTTCTAAGTTAAAGTTTGGTTGTCATAAAAACAAATTCTATTAATTTTCAAAGCTAGACTGTTCTACTGATTAATAATTAGAAATTTATTAACTTGAACTTAATTACTCTTGTTTTTATTTGTTGCACCATTTTCTGCAGCAAACAAGGAGATGGGGTTGCTTTCTACATTGTTGAAATGGAATGAAATTGATCTGCCATCGAGGGAGGAGAAGTTGCGAAATGAAAGGATATGCAGGTTCTACCAGCACAACAGAAATCCTTTTGTTGATCATCCAGAATATGCCAATCTCATATGGGAGCAAGTTGTTCCAAGTCGTCGGGGTTCTTATACTACATCCCGTAAAGCATGGATTAATGAATCTCACTACCACAACAAAGGGAGAGATCAAAATGAGGTACGCTTAACTCTTTGCAATAGCTGCATTCATTTATAATGATCTGGAAGTAAAAAAGTGTTAGTATTAATGAAGGGAAAATCTAAATTAGGGTGCTTAAAACTCCTTAGCCACCTCTTTTGAAATGTCCGTGCATTACATTATGCAAGTCAGTTAACACCTAAATCTCAGATTGACAAAGAATACATTGTGTTTGTGCGTCGTCATGCCAACCACACGTGACACTTGAAGTGTCAAGTTCTCCATTGATTTATCATCAATGTGGCCAAAAAAATAATTGATTGGTTTTTGGATATCGAGGTAAACAACTTATGTTTTGTGACGTGTCTATGCATTGGTGAAACATATATGATAGCCTTTTGGAAGCACAAAACAAGGACCGTCTTAAATTCCGGACCAATAAAACAGTCTCTCTTCCAAAGCAAAAATAATGGTAATTGTTTGCTCTTTATCTTTTTATTTTAAATCTCAATTTTTTAATTTTAATTTAATTTTATTTATATTATTAACTCTTAATTTTTTTTTATTTATGTCTAATTTACTCCAAAGTTTATATCCATGAAACTTAATTCTTTAACTTATTTATTAAAATATTGTTATAAGTGTATCCTGTGTTACATGGACTCGGGTACGGCTGTCAGACACGGGTATGTATCCATGCGTCGGACGTGTCAAATCTCCAAACAGAAGGACACACGGACACAACTAAATATTCATTTTATTAATTATTTTATTTTATTTTCTATAGTAAAGTAATGTTTTTATCTAATATAATGTTCAATATAGGCATTTAACTCATTTTAAAGTAATAATATAATGTAATTAAATGATAAGATATGTTTTTTAATTACATGTCCAACCAAAAGTGTCGGACACATATTACATACCTATGTCCGAGGGATACGTGTCCGACACGGGTACTTCACTACTTTTGAAGAGTCCATGTAACAGAGAGTGTGTATATATATATATATATATATATATATATATATATAACATAGATGACAAACAACTTTTTTATTTTTATTTTTAAATTATATTTTGATGTATTTTATTTTTTAAACATATCTATAACATGCATAATATAATTTTCGTGTCCTTGGTGTATCTATATCCTTTTTTTTTTTTTTCTTTTTTTTTTTTGAATTGTCATACCCTCGTGTGTATATCATGTGTCATATATATCATGCCTAATACCACCCAATTGATATTTTATAAGGGTGAAAATAAAAAAAGAAAATGACTAAATTAAAGCATTAGATAATGGTGATAATATGAATTTGACTGCATCTCTATCCATTGTATACCATGTAAAGACTTCAATTGTTCGATACTGGTTCAACATTGTGCTATGTTTTTCATGCATGCTTTTGGAGGACAATGGTTCAACAATTGTGGGTGTGCAAGTGCACGTGGCATGTGTAAGCTCATTGTTGAGACCTTTGAACTATCAATTGTGGTGGTAGAGGGAATAATTCTGTTGCCTTACAATTTACATCTCTGCATCCTCGTGAATGAGCTCCATTTGTCCAAAATGATTGAGCGACATTGCAATTTCTTTTTTTCCTAGTTGGTACTCGCAACCCCACCCCCAAGGAATAGTTTGCACCTAGCAAGAATCGAACATTGCAATTTCTTTTGCTGTTTCTTTTTTCTTTTTCTTTTTTTTTTTCTTTTATTATTTGGGCAAGTTTAACTGTGAATTTTGGTGTTAATTTAGCTCTCTCTCTAAAAACCATGTTTATTAAGTAGAACCTGGGAATCCTCAAAGGAGTGTCCATGATATTATGACTGTTATCCATTACTTGTATGTATATAATTTGCAGTTTGTTGAAATAGTAGTGGGGCAGTCGACAAATGCAGCTGAACTTGAACTTGCATTCTACAATGGGTCGAATGGGAAAATTTATTCATCTTTACCATGGGCAAATAACAAAGGTTTCCACCTAACTGATGGTGGCTCTGGGTTTCTGATATATACAGCTGCTCTCCCAATTCAAAACGGGCCTGCTGATGGAATTGCTTTGCTCAGTATAGATGACAATGCTGTCGAAGTGGTTGACTTTGACTCCTATGCTGGGACAGTGAAAGCAGTTGATGGACCAGCTATGGGAAATGAATCTGTGGATATTGGTGTCAAAGAAACAGAGGGATCTTCTAAGAATGATTCTCTGGGATTGGCAGGAGTTCAAGTCGGTGTATACAACTGGAAGAAGTTTGTAGGTGGAGCATCACCTGGGAAACTTAATGTTGGTCAGAACCTATCCGTGCAGTAAGTTATCCTTTGAGTTGAACACTTAATAAGATCATTTCCAATTACTTGCATTTCTGTTAAAAGGAAAAGGAAGTAGAGAAACAAAAACAAAATAGAAAAAATAAAAATAAAAATCATTTGTCTGGGATTCAAGAAAGATTCTCAATGAAGAGCTCATATCACGTGCTCTTCCTATTGTTTTGTAAGAAAATACAAAAACAATCTGCTAATCTGCTATGTCATTTGGGTGGCATTTTAGAAGTCTTGATTTGTCTAGTAACGCTAGGAAAATGCATAACAGGACCATATGGGACTGCTCACTTGACATGTCACCTATATTATGCAATACTACTTTATCGCATGATGAGCAAGAAGTGTGATATTTTTAGAAGCTATATTACTGCAAAACTGATAGAAACCTGGAATTTTGTAAGAAAATAAATATTGAAACTTGTTTTTAACAGTGAATATCACCTCCATATTTGCATTTACTTTGCAGATATATTTTTACATCAGTTGTTAATTTCACATCTACTTGAGAACTTGTCAACTAATCCTCACTAGAGTATTTGTATGTGATCTTACAAGTTACTGTATTGTTGATTGGCAGTAGCTCAGATGATCATCAATGCGATAGTCAGTAAACTGCAATGGGGAAGACACCAGTAAGTTTATATTGATACCATCTTCCGACAAAACACAAGTTCAGCTGTCACTAACAAATTTCACTAGTTCGATTAATTGCAAAGCTGCGCTTATTGAATTGAAACTACAGGGCCGTCAAGCTAACTTTGCAGGTGAAGTATATCTAGTTATGAAAACCTTCTTGTAGACTTTTAACTTTGTCAAGGCAGTTAAATGGTTTATGATTTTATTGCCAAATGGGACACGCACACTGAGACAGTCCAAGAGTAACATGCAAGTGTATAACCCACTGATATAGGGATCAGAAAAAAGGACAGCTTTTCAATGTGCTGCCAGTGTTTATTTACTTTTAAACTCTTGTTGAGCTGTCCCAGCGAGTTAGCTTCATACTTTTAATACAATCAAGAATTTGACAATATTTACTTGCATCTCTGTTCAATTCTACTTTTAGAGTGGTAGATATGTCACCAAGAAGTTGTTTTATTGCTTTGCATTCAATGTATTTGTTGAGAGAGAACAGGTCATTCTTCCACAAATCTTTTTTTTTTTTTTGGTGGGGGTGGGGGGAGACTATATATGACAACACCCGACTAGTCGGTGTCTCACATAGCAGGGCCCACCACAATTGCTAGGCGAGGGCTTTATAGTAATGTGAGACTTCCCGTTGATGGGTGTAGTCAGTTTTACAATTTTCCTTTGTTTTATTTTCTCAAAACTACTTCTAGCATTTATATACAATCTAATAAATCATATTTCAATTTGAACAAAATTTGAGTTAAATAATAGGATGACCAAAATGCCCCTTGGAATCATTCCAACATGTTATGTTAAATGTATTTAATGGTTTGTATTATGGATATGGTCATGGTAGATATCACATTTACTCATAGATGAGAACGTACCAACTATGTGGACAAAATGATTATTGTTGTCAAATGGATTTACATTCACATGTATACGTTTAAAATTTATGCCATTGTTGGAATTATCATCTCGTCTAGTGATTGAGTGTAACAAGAGTCATTTGTTTCACATCGAATTTGGATGAAAAAGTGATTGGGTATAAATAAGTGGGTATGTAGCATTATTTAACAGTTTGAGTTTTTTGGTAAATGGGCAAGTGTTCACCCATTATAATAGTATCAGAGCCAGACTCATTTCTTGATCCATGCCACGCTAAGCGTCCGGGTGACTCACTCGGGTAGGCAAGGTGGTCCGACCGCAACGAGGGCGTTGCGAGTTTGGGTGAGGGAGAATATAACAAGGGTCATTTGTCCCATATCATATCCAGTTGGAAAAGTAATTGGGTATAAATGAGTGAGTATGTAGTATACAAGGGTCATTTGTCCCACATCGAATTCAGTTGGAAAAGTAATTGGGTATAGATGAGTGAATATGTAGTATTATCTAGAAGTTTAAATTTTTAGATAAATGAGCTAACGTCTACCCGTTAAATTGAGAATGGTAGGAATTTGATTAAACAAGCTATTTTAGTAGAAATTCATGGCATACAGATCATTCTGCTACGTAAACTAAGCTACTATGTTATGTGACTTTATACAATGTTGGAATTAAGTTGTAACACTCTAGTGGCCCTCAATTTTGTAGTTGAGTTGGGATTATTCCTTCTTCAGTTAATAGGTTATTTAATCAAGTTATGGTACCCTTTTGAACACTTAGCTACACTTTCTTTCCTTTTTATATGTTCAATTAGAACCAATTTGGTCTAGAATTACATGATGAAAATTTTGACCATCCACCTTATAAAAAGTACCAACTTCAACAAATTTGGTCCAATCCACTACTATTTTCTAAAAGTTTCTTAGGGAAGTTGTTCGCCCCATGCCCCCTTCAGTCAATGAAACACGTGGCAGCTCAGCAGCCGTCCTGGCCACCTAGGTTGAAAGGTGAACAGCTTCAATATGCAGGTTTTATTTAGGGCACTATGCACCCTTTTCTGTAGGTAGATATTGAAAAGAAATTATTTATCGGGTAAAAACAAACATGTCAGTTTTATTCAGTCCTTTGTTCTTGTGTCAATTAGTGATTGGATGGGACTAATAATTTCAAGATTGGTTCCACCTATGTAGTAATTTTTTGATGTTGGGTGAGCCGGGTATATCATGTCATTAATATGTTCACTCAATGAAAATTTCGTATATTAATTTGTTGAGAGTGTTTTTATAAGTAAGGAGGATCAATTTCATTTCTACAGTGAATTTTCATTAGATGGTCATACCAATGAGTCACTGACTTGGCATGCTCGATTCACTAAATTTTTGTTCACAAGGACAATACTTGGGTCCTCCCCTTGAAGAATAAAGTTTATCCGCGTGATAATCCCAAATTTTTTATTTCCAAAAGAATACGATTGTTTTTATACTTATATTGAAAAATTACTAAATTTATTTAAAGAATGTAGTATATCAAGTGTTGAATAGGGAAAGGAATAAGAACTAAAAATATTATATGAAAATTTGATGTTAACCTATATTTGAATATAATTTTTCTCATATATTTTTTTCTTAGTTAATCTATTTATTTTTTGTCAAAGTTAGATCTATCTTTTGCATCCCTCCTAAATGCCCAACACTTTTAATTGATAAAGGGTTGGTAATTTTTTCTTTCTTGATTGTGAATACTGCAAAGTTTGTATATTGTCCTATTGAATAATATTTTTTGGAATTCATAAAAATTATAGAATGCAGCATTTTAATTGTAAAAATTTAAAACAGTGACGTTCTGTGAAATTTATCATTAAAAATGGTAAAATTTTAAAGTAAATGTGATGAAACTGTATAGCAGGAAACTGTGGGAAAAAGTTCTAAATTAAAACTATCTCCTACCATATAAATATAAAAATTAATTAAAAGAAAAAAAAAAAAATAAGGGCCCACCAAACGGGCCCATTTATGAATCTATCTATCCATGGGCCTGGCCTTTATGGTAAACGCATGAATGATGATGGCCGGTACCGACCTTCCCGGTTTCTCTATCAACCTCTCAAAGCGGAAAGCAAAGCACACCGTCACCAACCATAAAAAGTCATTCTCGGAGCATCTTTCAACATACATACATACATATTTGTATCTATAGATTCTATACACACACTTTTATATATATCTATACATATATATATATCTATATATCTTTATATGTAATTTATTAATTATCAAAAATCAAAAAGAATAATAATAAATACAGAACAGAAAAATCTGAACAAGCCAACGACAACAAATTTTACCTGTAATTCTTCTAAAAGGGGCTTTAAAAAATTAAAGGTGTCTAATTTCGTTTTTATCTCTTTCACTGTTTCAGATCAAACCAGAAATTAATTATGGTCTTAATTGTCTTCCAGTTATGTTAATTTGTTGTTTAATATTATAATCAAATTTACAGTTCATTTCTCTCTCTTTCTCTCTCCTCTGTCCCAACCTTTTGCTGCCGTTAGTGATAAGCACGCTTGGCAACTCATCATTCCCTCCAACCCGCCTCCTCACTTTTCTCTCCTTCTCTCTCTTCTTTCTCTCTCTAGACTGCTGTTCTCTTTCTTCAAACCCCACTTTCCTTTGTTTCCAACCTTTTTGCCAGCAACTTTGATTCGGTGAAGATCGAGCTTAATTTCCTGTAAATACGGTTTTTCAATTGGATCTGTTGATTCATTTTGAGTCTACTTCAGATTAATTTCCTCAGCTGAAGGTAATTTCATTAAAAAAAAAAAAGTTGTTTTTCTTCTTCTTCTTTTATTATAATTTGTGGATTTATGTGTTAAGATTTTCGTGCTCGAATCAATGAATTGTTATCTTTTCAATGTGTTTGTTGAGGTCTGGGCGTAACTAATTGAAACAGAAATTCTGAAGTTTTGATTTCTCATGTATACGCTAGCCTTCGATTGATTTTGCAAGTATTGAATTTTACTGATCTGGGGCGATTTAGCTTCATTTCGCTGCATAACAATGTAGCTCGATTTGCTGATGTGAAATTCACATACATATTCATTGTTTATATTATAATTTTGATGTGTTGGGATTTGATGTAAAACTTAAAATATAATGTACGGACGTTGTAATTGCGATGCTTTGTGAATTGCGCAAAATCTGTAATATGTTTAAGCAATTTTAGAGTTTCAAGATCGCACGAACTATTAATATAATGTGTATATACATATATACACAATATAATTTTCTTTTTGCGACATTGTGTTTATTTTGTTCCTATTAATGTGGAAGAGTTGTTTGTTTATAAAGTTTAATAAATTTCCCATTATCTTTTTCATTGGTATGTGAATGAAGCAAAGATCTTTCCGCCTCTTTGCCCGTGTAAAACATATTATTACTATAGCTCTCCTCTCTCTCTTAATTTTTCTTTTTCAAATCCTTTTCAGTCTTCGTGTTTTATTTAAAAATTCTACTAATTTGAACTATCTTCAGTGTCCTTTAGCTTCTTATTTAGTTTAATCGAATTCTTTATCAGTACAATTGTACAAATCACAATACGTCCCTATCGGTTGAAGAGGTAATTAGAGGAATGAGTAGAGGAATGAGTCAGGTGAGGTTTTTGGAGGCTAAGCTTTGTTGACCTGTTGGAGTCTTCGTCTGGTCCCTGCAATTGCATTCTCACTGGCATGTGAAAATTTAGCTCCTTTTGTTAGTTGCTAGCTGTATTAATGGTTCATTTAGCCGAGTCACATGATATTTATCTCTACTTTCTCATTGAATTATTGTATTGAGAATTTTACTTTCTTCTTTGGTAGAACAAGTGGAGGTTACAGTTGTGATAAAAAGTTATGTATAGAATCAACTTGACCATGGAATGAGGCAACACAGGAATCGGAAGTGACAATCACAACCCAGAAAAGATGGTAACTTACAGAGGGAATTTAGTTTCAAAACAAATGTACATTTTGTAGAGAAACCTGATCACAGGACGGAGCCAGTTCATGCCCAGAGGGGGCACATGCCCCCTTACTTGGGGCCGCGCACTATATTATTATAGTTATTTTCTTAAATTTATTACACATATGAAAATTTGTGTATAATAATGCCCCTAAAATTATTTTAGTTTCTAAAATATCTTTAATTTTTCCTTATTTTCCTCTTCCTCTCTTTAAATTCCTTTAATTTCCTTAAAAAAATTTAATGTCATTCTTCTTTCCTTTTTCTTCTTCTTCTATTACCTAAAATTCTTCTTCTTATTCTTCTTTTCTTTGTTTATTTTTTTTTTTGGCACTATAACCCTAAATTGAAATCTTGGCTCTGCCCCTGCCTGATCCTGAACTTTGTTACAATAGATTTGCTCCTGACTTGACCCGCCCACTATATTATTATAGTTATTTTCTTAAATTTTTTACATATATATGGAAATTTGTGTATAATACCCCCCTAAAATTATTTTAGTTTCTAAAACTCTCTTTAATTTTTCCTCATTTTCCTCTTTCTCTCATAAATTCCTTTAATTTCCTTAAAAAAATTAAAATTTTCCTTCCTTGCTCTATTATTTTTCTTTCTAAAGTTATGTCATTCTTCTATTACCTAAAATTCTTCTTTTCTTTGTTTAATTTTTTTTCGCACTATACCCCCTAAATTGAAATCCTGGCTCCTCCCTTGCCTGATCCTGAACTTTGTTACAATAGATTTGAGGTACCAAACTCATTTACAAAATGTTTTAGAAGCATTGCCTATGGAGAAAATTTTAGATGAGCTTTTATTTATTTATTTTTCATTATGAGACACGTGTTGCATGTAGGCTTCTCTGCATAGAGAGGTCCCTTCAGTTTTACTACGAAACAGGTTCAACTCATAGGAAAAAGTTCCTGTACTTGGGCTGAATTGTTAAAAAAATTACATGGTTTTATATGCAATATGTCAATGGCCAGATTTATTGATCAAATCTGCTCACTTTAGTTCTACAATAATTGCAGAAGGATGCTTGGGTGTTCTACAGGGATCCCTTTAAATTGATGGGCCATTATGTTAGAAGCGAGCTGATAGTGGGAATATTAAGTTTTCATAAAACAATTTTCAAATAATAAACCAAGCAGAATTTTTTTGCACAGTTTTATGTTTTCAGACCTTTTATTTCTTAATTTATGGTCTAATAGCCATGCCCATCTCTTCACAAAATATATCATTGATAATAAATCTCTAAGTTAGCATCTTGTCATAGTACCTAGCTGCCAAGAGATGTTTGATTAACTCTCCTTATGATGTATTTGTACATATATTTTTGGGGTGTCCTATAGTAAAGTCTTTCTTTATTTTTCACTTACATAATCATTTCATGGTGCCACTTATGACGACAGTTGCAGAGTTAACGGAGAAAGTTTTAGTATGGCTGTTTCAATGAGAGATTTGGACCCAGCTTTCCAGGGAGCTGGACAAAAGGCGTATCCTTTCTCTTAAATTTAGCATGTTGAAGTAGGAGTTGTTTATCCTTTCAATATCAGTATCTCAGTCCCCTTCTGCATGTCACAAATGTTTTCTAATGTACTTAAACAGTTTCAACAAAAGAAGGGTATACAAAAGAGAAAGAACAATATTATCAGGGCTATATTATTCTTTGGTTTTGAACTTCATTTCATTCCTGTTTTTCTCCTTTACATTATATAGCGGAATCGACATATGGCGCATTGAGAACTTTCGGCCTGTACCAGTTCCAAAGTCCTCTCATGGAAAATTTTTTACCGGGGACTCCTATGTGATCCTGAATGTGAGTGATCTAATGCTGATCTAATTGCATCGTCCTGATAGTGACTCCTATGTGGCAATTTTTTTACACTTCTATTTTAACTCAATAGTCTTTACTACAGTGGCCATTGTCAGTTTCTTATGTTGTTACCGTATTTTTGTGTGTATGAGTATATACAATGTATGATGGAGCTGTGACTATAAAAGGATCATGTTTAATATATATGATCTTGACAACATCTTTTATGCAGTTTATGTTCTACATAATATAATAAGACATATAACACCATTTCTATTGTGAATTGGAAAGAATTCCTGCCATACAACTTTTTAAAATTAGCAACATAGTGTATGGATTATAGAAAGATGAACCTTAATCTTTCCATTTCCAAGTTGAAACTCCAACTTAAAATTATGGTGATCCCTTAGAGGGAGAGAGAATCTCAAAGTGGATAGATGGTGCAGAAAGGTGAACCTGTTGAAAGAATGGGCTGGTTTTCTCTTTTTGAATACTATTTTCCAGATTTCTGAACTGTCCTAAATTTACAAATTGCATCTTGCAAAAGTGGCAGCATGTGCCATGACATAGTAGGGGCAGCATGTGCCATGACATAGTAGCGGCAGCATGTGCCATAACATAGTATATTGGCTAGCACATAATGATTTCTCTTTTGTGTAGTAAACCACAACATTGGAAACCACTCTCAAGTGATACTGACATTACACTTACCCAAAAAAAAAAAAACAGAAGAAAAAAAACGAAAAGATATCTGATGTCATTTATGGAGTTGATAGTTTATGGTGATAATTTAAATTTAAATAGAGAAACTATAACTTCTGGACACTTGGTTTTCTTGTTGGTGATTAGATTATTGTCCTCTAGGATATAAATTATTTGTTAAAAAGATATACCTTTTGAAGACATACCACACCATTGGAAACTACTCTCCAGTGATGCTGACATTACACTTGCCCAAAAATGAAAAAAAAAAAAAGAAAAAAGAAAAGAAAAAAAGGATATCTGATGTCATTTATGGAGTTAATAGTTTATAGTGAGAATTAAAATTTAAATAGAGAAACTATAACTTCTATACACTTGGTTTTCTTGTTGGTGATTAGATTATTGTCCTATAGCATATAAATTATTTGTTAAGAAGATATACCTTTGTTTATTTCTTGGGTTGATTATTTAAATGCTACATTGTGTTTTTAAATGGGAAGGAAGATGTGATTCTTGTTCTTTGTCCATTGTGCATGTTCAAAGTCATTCATTTTCATTCATATCAATAATATACTCTATATAATTTCCTTCTCTCAGACAACTGCTTTAAAGAGTGGTGCCTTACGTAATGATATCCATTATTGGCTTGGCAAAGATACCAGTCAGGTAAGATTTTATTTTATGTAGCTTTTCTCCTTAATTCAATATCTGTTACAACTGTTGTTTAATTGTCAGAACTCTGTTTATATAGGATGAAGCTGGTACTGCAGCCGTCAAAACTGTTGAACTGGATGCAGCTCTTGGAGGCCGTGCTGTACAGTATCGTGAAGTACAAGGCCATGAAACTGAGAAATTTCTTTCTTATTTTAAACCATGTATCATACCTCAAGAAGGTGGAGTTGCATCTGGGTTCAAGCATGCAGAAGCTGAAGAGCACCAAACACGTTTGTACGTTTGCAGGGGAAAGCACGTTGTTCATGTTAAAGAGGCAAGTCTATGTTTATTACTGATGTTGATGATGAATTATCAGGATGTATTCTTTTATATGTTCATTCTCAAGTTTCTATATGTTGACAGGTTTCTTTTTCTCGGTCTTCTCTCAATCATGATGACATTTTTATACTGGATACGAAGTCTAAAATTTTTCAGTTTAATGGTTCCAACTCATCTATTCAAGAGAGGGCTAAAGCACTAGAAGTTGTCCAGTACATTAAAGATACTTATCATGGTGGAAAATGTGAGATAGCTGCCATTGGTAAGTGAATAATCAATTGGGTAGTTTGAATGTTAATACCTGAATGACTAATCATTATTTGAATTCTAATTTCTACGTACTATTCTATCTCTGTAGAGGACGGAAAATTGATGGCTGATGCTGAAACTGGAGAATTCTGGGGTTTTTTTGGTGGCTTTGCTCCGCTTCCAAGGAAAACAGCTAATGACGAGGATAAAGCTATGGATGCTCTTCCTACCAGGCTGTTTCGGTAATATTTTTTTTGGCCTTGCCTTTTGACTTTTGGCTCAATGTTACAAAAATCTCTATCATAATTGCATCTGGTATTTTCAGAATATCCATATTTTGCTAAATTTATCATTATTGTTTGAAACTTGAGGTGCTAAAAAGGTCTTCTTTTGTAAAGATAACATTGTTATGTATATAACCAATGGGCATTAATCCAGATGGTATGATCTCTCCTTCTCAAAGGGGAGGTTGAGTACTCAAGCCTTGCTAGGGGCAATATTGTGGGTATGTGATATTTAATTATATTATTTCATATGTTATTTAATACAAATATCATTTATATCATTTGGAACATACATTTCTTTAATTTATATTTTCTTTAAGCTTTTCATATATGTGAATTTTTTTTTTTTTTTGATAAGTAAGATTTTATTAAAAAACGCTCAAAACGGGGAGCGAAACCCAAAGAAACAAAAGGAACACAAGGGCCAGAGAGCGCCTTAGACCTTCAGAGAGGCCAAAAAAACAATAATTTCCTCCATAGATCTATAATCTCTCCCTGAAACCCAACAAAAAGAGTAGAAATAATAGAGAACTTAAGCATAGAAACATGCTTCTTTTTCCCGTCAAAATATCTCCTATTTCTCTCAAGCCAAATACACCCCCAGATATAAAGCGGCGTAGCCCTCCAAGCATCTCTAATGCCAGCCCCAATAGAGGCGCCTCTCCAAGCCTCAATTAACCCTCTAGAGGAGAAAGGCATTGCCCAATGAATCCCAAATAAACGAAGCATCAAATCCCAACAATCTCTGGCCATGCTGCAATGTAAAAGGAGGTGATCAACAGACTCTTCGTGACACAAGCACATGAAACAGTGATTGACCACCACCTGATTCCTCCTCCTCAGATTATCTTGGGTTAAAATCTTACTCAGAACAGAGGTCCAAGCAAAAAAGGCAACCTTGCGGGGAGCCTTGGACCACCAAATAGACTTCCAAGGGAAGGGATCTCTATGACCAAACGAAAGGCATTTGAAAAAGGACCTAACCTCAAAACGGCCATGCGTGGTAGGAACCCAGAACCACTGATCCGATCCCCCAAAAGAAAACACCTGGCTATACAACAACTCCAGAAAACGAGAAACATCCTCGATCTCCCAATCCTGAAAATGCCTCCTGAAACGAACATCCCAAGACAGTTTCCCGTTATCAAAATGATAACAGTCAACAACCATGGCCTGTCGATGAGAAGCAATCCTGTAGAGCTGTGGGAACGCGAGAGCAAGAGGGAGATCCCCACACCAAAGATCCAACCAAAAACTGATCCTCCTTCCATTTTCAATACGAAAACGAACATACTTGCAGAAATCATCCCATCCCCTCCGAATAAAATGCCAAACTCCCACCCCCCTTGGACCACGCATCTCCAGGGAGCACCACCCACCACGACTTTCCCCAAATTTGCAAGCAATAACTTTCCTCCATAACCAATGCCTCTCGATCCCAAACGTCCAGAGCCATTTACCAAGAAGAGCCTTATTAAAACGTAACAACCTCCGAAACCCTAAGCCTCCAAACCGAATTGGATGGCACACTTGTTCCCATCGAACCAAGTGAAATTTGAACTCTTCACCTTCGCCCCCCCCCCCCCCCCCCCCCCCAACGTCAATTATCTCAGCCACTAAAGAAGGAATCTGAAACAGAGACAAGAAAAAAATTTGAAAAGTAGAAAACAAAAGTCCTTTTCCTTGAAATGTGCTAAAATGAATATTCATTGGACAAATTTTGTGATTATGAATTCTTTTACTAAATCAAAATTCTGTTGAGGCGGTGAAATATGGATCCATTACATTTGGGCTCTGACAAAATTGTTTTTGCTTTTTAAGTGTTGAGAATGGGAAGGCAGAACTTGTAGAGGCTGAGCCTTTGACACAGGAGTTGCTAAGCACAAATAAATGCTATATTCTAGATTGTGGAGCAGAAGTTTTTGTGTGGATGGGGAGGAACACCTCTCTTGATGAAAGAAAAAGTGCAAGTGGAGCTACAGAAGTAATATTTAATTTTTTCTATCTAATTGAAATTCTTAATCTGGATGCAAACCTTTTACCATCCTTTTATAATTGTTGGTCTCACTGAACAGGAATTAGTTCGTGGCCTTGATCGACCAAAATCTCATATTATCCGTGTGATCGAGGGATTTGAGACAGTGATGTTTCGGTCAAAGTTTGATTCATGGCCCGAGTCTACTGCTGCAGCTGTTTCTGAGGATGGCAGAGGCAAGGTTGCCGGTCAGTAACTGATATATGTTGCAGACTTTTTGCCCTTTTCTGAAATTATAATTGCAAGATACTTTATATGCACCTGAGAATTTATATTCTTCTTCTTCTCGTTCTTCTTGTTCTTGTTCTTGTTCTTCTTAGTATTATTGTTCTTATTACAAAAGTTCTTACTACTGTTCTTAATTAATAATTTTGTAGCACTTCTAAAACGCCAAGGGGTTAATGTGAAGGGTCTATTGAAAGCGTCTCCTGCTAAAGAAGAGCCTCAACCGTATATTGACTGCACAGGAAATCTGCAGGTGCTGTAAACATTTATTGTATTAATATATTAAGATGCCTCTCCGCATGTGGAGGTAAGGTTGCATACATCTGACCCTCCTTAGACCCCGCAATGGCGGGAACCTGGTGCACTAGGCTAGCCCTTCATTAATATATTAAGATGGGTGACTGCGAATATGCTACTTCTTTTTTTTTTTTACCGAATAAACTAAACTTTGTTAAAGAAAGAGAAACATAAAGGACTCAGTGTCCAAGCAAGATAAAAGGACAAGATTCATGTTTTTAAACTTGCTTTTCTAGATAGTCTAATTTAAATTTCCTTGGGTAACCTCCTTCTCTTAATAAGGGACCAATTGACAGAAGAAAATTATTGTTTTAATCTAATTTACTATTTGATTCAACTTCCTGGAAAGTAGTATTGGACATACCCCTTTCTATAAAATCTAGGAGCCTCTCACCTTGCCTCTTCCATGGTTGCTAGAATGGGATTTCAGGATGTAAAACTGCATGTATTTTTCTGGTAAGGGTAAGACTGCATGTCTTGTTGAACTGGAACTGGATAATGTGATAATAAATTATAGGGGAAATGTGAAACGGGGAAGTGAAAGGCCAAAATACTGAAGATTATGAGAAATGAAAGGAAGTTTGTAGGGAAAATAAGTGTATGAAAATCAAAATGAAACTTCAGGGAAAGGAAAGAGAAAATATCTCTTAAGAAATTTATATGTATTTTTGTAGGGAATGCTTCAGAAACTTTAAAAAAAATCAGAATTTTGAAAATTATACCCATATTGCATGGTCTTTCAAATGTTCGTGAAATGCTTTCTCAGCATATCTGATTTGGTTCCTAATATTAGTTGTTTCTAAAATGCCTCACTAAAATGTTCCTGGTGATTCATTAATTATTGCCTCGCCATACTGAATAACAAGATAACTAAAACTTAAATGAACCCTAGATCAATTTTTAGATTGCATTTTCTGGTTCAGTTGCTAATGGTAGCTTTCATCATGGTTGCACAGGTTTGGCGTGTGAATGGCCAAGAGAAGATTCTCCTTCCAGCTTCTGATCAGTCAAAATTTTACAGTGGAGATTGTTATATTTTTCACTATTCATATCCTGGAGAAGATAAAGAGGAATACCTTATTGGAACATGGTTTGGGAAGCAGAGTGTTGAGGTGAATAGATTTTTCACTTTTTTTAAGTCTTGTATGGGGTATATATCATACAGCATCTACTACTTTTTTTTTGATAAGTAATATTTTATAAAAGAGCGCTCAAAAGGGAAGTGAATCCCAAAGAAATACACAAGGCCAAAAAACGCCTCAAGCCTTCAAAGAGGCCAAAAAAACAACAATCTCCTCTATAGATTTATAATCTCTCCCTGAAACCCAACAAAAAAGTTTGACCTTGTAATTCTGATTTTTTTTTAATGATGTTGTTGTTGTTATTGACAGTTATAGTCCCTCTTAAGCTTTTCTATGATGCATAAAATGACAACAATCACCGTGCCTAACTTTATCTCATAACATACCTTAGGCCATCAAACTTGGGAACTAGTCTTCCATGGTACATGGTCAGAGCATAAAACTGTAGTGTAATAATCCACCTTATTGTCACTTTTTGGAATATTAAAAATGGTTGTGTATTTGATCTTGGGGAAAAGAGTTGTTATAAGTATTTAGAGCAAGATGTTCATTCTTTTGATCGAGATCATAAAAATAATTTAAAAAATATGTATCCTTCAACATGTTTATCTAATCTTGCTATAGAAATCAGATGAAGTCTTTCTTGCCATGTAACCCCTGAAGTCTTTCTTGCCATGTAACCCCGTGTTACTTTGTAATGTTCAGAGTCTTCAGACATGAACTAGAATACTACCAAGTTATTTTCTATTATCATCCTTTTAAAAGTTTTATGTACTTCTCCTAGGCTAATTAGTTATGCACTTGGGTCTCCTAAGGCCTTTATTGACTCACATTGTAAATTATTTTCTTACGTAATCTTAGTAGTCTCACAGTTTCTTATGATATTCATTTTTCATCATCTTGATTTTGTTTCAGTTTAGGATAATTCAACAGGATCAGGGCTATCATTTCTTTCCTTCATATAAGAGGATATCAAGCAAAACTAATGCATATTGTGCCCCTTGTCCCTTGGCTCAGCCCTACTTTCTCTTTTTCCCTTTCGGAACTTTATGAATATGTCCCAATTAAAATCTTTTCTTAGCTCCTAGAAGAGTCTGGTAGTATGTCTACTTTTCTTTGATTGTCTTTGGAGTTCAGCACAACACATCCAAATGCTTCATCAGAATGATTTTTCTTCTTCAATTTGCTCTGAGCCTTGATAATTGATTCTTTTAATGCATTCAGATTATATATGTGTGTGTAAAAATTCTTTGATGGGACCATTCTTGCGATCACATGAACATTCCAAACTGAGAAACTCTAGGGCCACTTGGCATTGAATTTGTATTGAGGATCAAAATGATTTAGATTTTTTTACTTTGAATGGTTACATTATCAAGAATAGTTTATCTACAATTTCAGTCATTTTTGCTCAAATCCCTCCTCCCCCACCCCTTCTCTCTCTATCCATATATAAATAATTATATACAAATGGATATATATATATATACACACACACCCAAGCACATACACTATTACACTGAAAGTACTCCCTTCGTCCCAAAATAAGTGTCCACCTTTCTCTTTTGGGATGTCTCAAAATAAATGTCCCATTTGAAAATTCAATGTTTAGAAGTTTTTAGCTTCCCAACGTTGTCCTTAGATTTTGAAGATTTCCCCAAGTAATAAAGTGTAAAAAATAAAAACTTCTAAAGGTTTAACTGTGGAATTTACAAAGGTGACATGCATTTAAGGCATGTCCCCTTAAAAAGTTGGGAGTCCCTAAAAGGGACATTTATTTTGGGATGGAGGACGTATTTTTTATATATTGTATAATTAATTCTGGAAATAGTGTGTGAACTCTTGCTTAACCCCCGTGAAGACTTTAGTTCTGAGCTGTTTTCATGCATATATCACAATATATGTATTTACTTTGCAATTATCATGATATATAGGAAGATAGAAGTTCAGCTATATCACAGGCAAGCAAGATGGTCGAGTCAATGAAATTTTTGCCTGCTCAGGTAATGTACAATAACTAGTGGTTGAATTTTTTTATCTTTTTTTCATAATTGAACTAGTGGTTGAATTGTTAGTATAGTATTGATGATTTTATTTTTTTATATGTATATTGGCATTGATAGTTTGATTATGGACTTATAGGCTCGCATCTATGAAGGCAATGAACCAATCCAGTTCTTTTTGATCTTTCAGAGCTTTATCGTTTTTAAGGTTTGTGAGAGAGATAAATGCTAGGAAAGGAGCTTCCATTAAAATTCATCTAATGTCATGTTTTGGTTTTTGTTTCCAATTGACTGGCAAACCCTATTTATGCAAAACTCATCAGGGTGGTCTTAGTGATGGGTACAAGAAATATATTGCGGAGAAGGAACTTCCAGATGCAACATATACAGAGGATGGAATCGCATTATTTCGAGTTCAGGGGTCTGGACCTGAAAATATGCAAGCAATTCAAGTTGAACCAGTAAGTCCTGTTTCCCAGTCTTTATTTATTTATTTTTTTCTCCATCTTTTGAAATCATTTATTTGCTACACAGAATTTTAATTCAGTTCCCAACACTATCTTACACCCTTATCTTAAAATCAAAGGTGCAGCCCTTAATTATTTTCACTTTGGTCAGTCTTTAATAGAGATGGATATAGTTTTTGTTTTTAATTTTTCTCTCTTTTTTTCTTTAGTTACTATTTAATTATGTTAGGAAAATGGCTCTGTTAGCAGCATTTGTCATATGATTGATCATAATCCAATTAACAGTGCTGTTAGGAGCAATAGTTACCATATCTTGGATCAGATGATATGGTCAAATTTCCTTTATTTTTTTCAAGTGTAATCTCAGGAGCACAGGATTTTTTGGTGAACTTCTACAAACTTGTAGAGAAGCATGTTTCTCTGCTTGTCCATTTCATTACACACTGATACTGCTCCTTCTAAGAAGTGTCGTGCCTCATTAGAGACGCCTGATATTACAAGTTTTGATTATTTTTATTAAATACTTTTATTTTTTAAAAAATATATAGTTTCATCATATGTTGTAACATCATTGTGAATTTGTCTGATACGTTGTTTTAAATTTTATATGGTGAGCCCATTTTGTATTGGATACCGATTTCCAACCATATGGGTGTCACTTTATGAAATACCAAAGGTAAGATCTGTCAGAGTCCTCTTTCCCTAGGACCCTGCTGTAGCAGGACTAGAATTGGGTAATATCCCTTTCATTTCCAACCAGGCATGTGCTAATGGTGTTTTAGCCTTTTAGGTACCCCAATATAAGATTTTTGTTTTTTACTTTTCCAGGTCGTATCCCTTAATAAACATTTGATGGTACACATAAAGCTTCAGAGAAATTTATGATGAAGTATGTAGGGGTTTCTTCATTAGAACCGAGTGGGACTTATTCAGAAACTTTACCTCATATGGTTGCCTGTAAGAAAGTCCATTGGGGATATTGGAAAATGGAGTTTGGCACCCCATGTTTGCCAAGAACAAGATGAGCTGTATACAATCCTCAGGAAACTAAATTTTTCATCAATTTATGAGAAACATAAGTCTGTTCTAAAAACCTGGGAAGCAGCATTTAGGCAGAAAAACTTTTTTCAGTTGTCATATACTGCATGAACACAATCTCTATCCAGAAGTCATTCAAAAAATAACTATTTGAAGTTCAATTAACTAAGTAGCATATCCTTTTTTACATGTTATCTCCTATTTATATAATATCATATATTAGTATTCTCTTGGTGTTCAATCGCATGATAATTTCTTATCGCAGTTCCAATATGGTCCTTGCCTCAATACTGAATAACGTTCTTATAATTTTTTCGTGCAGTTCCATGGCCTCATTACTACTTAGGGATTCTACAAATTTACTTGCTTTCTCCCTCCCTCTCTCTCTGTTACAAATAATAATAATGAATAAAAATTAAAAAATAAATTCCTAGGGAACTAATTTTCTGCATATCTAAAGGGTTTTAATTAATTAATTTATTTTTTTGGAATCAGGTGGCATCATCTTTAAATTCCTCCTACTGTTACATATTACATAGGAGCTCCTCTGTTTTTACGTGGTCTGGGAACCTGGCAAGCTCAGGGGACCAGGAACTTGTTGAGAGGCTACTGGATCTGATAAAGGTATGATTTCTGTTATGGATATTTGTGTTACTTTAGAGTTATTTTTAGTGTATACAGGTTTCTTCATGAGTTGCTTCTATGTTAATGTCTTTGCTTGTTAGAACCACAAGTAGAAGTGATAACTCATTATTTTGCATTTGCATTTTATTGAAAACCCCAATAGAGAAAGGAAAAAGAAAATCAGATGGACTAATCAATCCATCTTAAGACTGTTATTTTAACTTCAAGGAAGATCTTGCTTCTCCTTTAACTTTTGTAATCACTCCTGTGTTTTAAAGAACATCCATTTTATCTTGCTCTGATCAAGCCTCCATCTTTTTGCTGTCATACATTTTACTTGCAGCCGGATATGCAGTCCAAACCACAAAAAGAAGGCTCAGAATCTGAACTATTTTGGGAATTGTTAGGTGGGAAATCTGAATACCCCAGCCAGAAGATTGGTAGGGATGCTGAAAATGATCCTCACCTATTCTCATGCACCTTCTCAAAAGGTGAGATGAATTATCTCTGTATATAACAATCTACTCCATTATGTAATTTCTCTGTCTTACATATTGTAAGTTGTAGTAATTCGATCCTTATTCTTTCCTTTGTATTGATTACTGCTGAAATTCGTGCTGGTCTGCAGGAGAATTGAAGGTGTGTATTTCCTTCAATCTGTTCTTTCTAATACACATAATAAGGCTATTACGTTATGCAGTCTGACCCTCACTCTTGGTTATGCTTGCTTTTGCAATGTGGCATTCTGAAAGAACTTGTGTCATCTCCATGTCACATTTATTTAAATTAATTTGTTTCAGTATATGCTCAATATATTCAGATGTTTTGGAATGTATTGAAGTGTATCATGTCATAAAAACATCTTTATGTGACAAACAATGAGAAAGATTGTTTTTTAACGTCTCATGTGTATTAGTATTTGTTCAGTTAAGTTTGCACCATGAGCTTGAAATAAAGTTGTCCTTGCAGGTGACTGAGGTATACAACTACAATCAAGATGATTTGATGACTGAAGATATATTCATCCTGGATTGTCGTTCAGAGATCTTTGTCTGGGTTGGGCAACAGGTTGACTCCAAGGACAGATTGCAATCTTTAACTATTGGGGAGGTATGTTTTAACAGGCTTTGGCTGGAAGAAAGATTCATACTTCAGTTTCAAGGAGAAAATGGCTGCTAATAGAACTTCCACCACATATATATTTTTTGGCCATAATAGGAAACTCACAGACCTTGGGTGACCACTGTGTCCAGGGTTATTAATTGGACTCTTAAAATTTGTGCATTGGGTGGTTCTGAGTTGGGATTGCATTAATTTTGAAAAGCCCTAGCCGAAGCCAAGGCTGGGCTTTATCGAATTGAAATTGAGGTTTGGAAGGTTGCAAAGGCTGGCTGCACCCCATGGTTAGGGTTAGCTTCCATTTCTTGATGTTTAAGACGTGTCTTAAACCAATGAAAATTTAGGACCTGTTGGTCAAGTGGTATGTGATTGGCTTTGAGAGAATACCATGAAATGTTCAACTCACTGCAGTTTGCAGTGCATAGAGACAATCTGCTGAGAGTTATGATGTTTAGCGAGTGTCTTACTCACATTCCTATTCTTTTCATATAATTTAACAGAAATTTCTTGAACGGGATTTTCTTCTGGAAAAATTATCTCGTGAAGCTCCAATATATATTGTTATGGAAGGGAGTGAGCCACCTTTCTTCATACGTTTCTTCTCATGGGACTCCGCAAAATCTTCAGTAAGTGATCTCATTGTAACTGCAAATCAAGGAAGTTGTCACTTGAATTAAGAACTATATAAGGTATCTTATGTTATTGTATGGTATCAGATGCATGGAAACTCGTTCCAAAGGAAGCTTGCAATAGTGAAAAATGGGGGGACTCCAACTCTAGATGTAAGTAATTTTTTTCTTTTTCGCTTCTCTGATGCTATGGTTCAAGATTATTCGTATAGAAGATCATTTCCTCAGAAGTTGAGATACTGGATTGTACCAATGAGCCATTAGCTCAATGGTATGAACCTTTCCTCCCTTAAAGGGGAGGTGAGGGGTTCGAGTCCCGTAGTGGGCAATTTGTGAAATGTGCATGTGGGTGCTTGCTTAACCAAAAAAAAAGTTGAGATACTGGATTGCAAGCCTCTGTAGTAAGGGGTTTTGCATCATCAGCTCTCTTATACTTGTATATGACTTGACTGTATCACGTGTCACATGTGTTGGATAATTATGTAGAGAATATATTTTTCTAGAAGAGCAAATGTTTGACGGAAATGGATCGACACCAAATCAAAAAGTATGAGGATCTTTAGCTGTATGTGACAAAACCTTCAATTCTTTATATATTTCTTCAGCTGCAATGTGGCGTCAGGTTGTTCATTGTAACAATTTAGATGGGTGTCCAGTCTTGTTGTGGAGAAAAATCTTTCTCAAATCATGCAAATCTTCTAGTAAGTAATGATAAATCAACAGGATAAAAATACGCAGTCTATTTTTTCAATAAACAAATTGAAGCACCAGTTCAGTTCTGAGGAAACCAAAGCCCTGAAATGAGTTGGTGCCTATGGATTAAGTTTAATGGAATACATCTAATCTCAAACTTATAATGAGATTGTTTCGAGATGATGGGTTGATGTTATAATTAAGTTCTTACATGTGAGTTTTTGTATTATGGATGCGCCCCTTGGTAATTAGGTTTGATACAAAGTTAAGGCAAGTTGTCTGATTATATCTCATAGAAATGACATCATTACAATTTATGGATGATGGCTGTAGGTTTCTGTTTTTTTTATAAGACAAATTCTTTGCATAAATTCAACGACATGAGTTCTCAAGGACGAGTCCTCCTCCCTGTCCTTAAGAACTGAAGATAAAATACAAACAATTACTTGATCTGTCCCAATATAAATGTTCTATCTGGGGCTCCAACTTTTTATTATGCATGTGTGCTTGTATTGTTAGCTTAGGAAAGTTTTCAAAACTTCAGGATAATTTAGTTTTACCTTAAATTTTAAAAAGGAAAACTATTCTGGGACATCCCGAAAAGGAAAGAGGGACACTTTGGGATGGAGTGAGTAAACAAAAAGAATAATAGAAACTGAGGAGGATAAAAGTGTTTTCTAACTCTCAAGTGTATCACTGCTCTCCTCTGGCTTACCTGTGAACCCAAGAATTGCAAAAACAAATGTGCTTTGAACAATATTGAAGACCTCTTGGTGCATGTGAATACTTCCTTGGACCTTAACATCCATCAGTTATCCCAATTAACAGAACTTTGCATTAACTGTATCTTTATCTTCTCCAAGATCTGTTTGTCGAGCCATACTTTCTGCTTTAGTGCCATACCCCATTTCAGAAGTAAACAGAGAAATTATGCACAACTTACTTGTCTATGTTGATTAGGTGTTGTGAAGTTTCTTCTTATAAAATACCAGGGTAAAAAGGAATCATATTCATTGTTTAATAAGGAATTTGAAGTGAGACATAGATACCCATGTCATTGGTCAACTTATGAGGGAGGGCGGAAGAGAGGGAAAAGCATCAGTATTTTCCTTCCCTTTTCCTTTCTCTTTCTCTTTGTTTTATTCCTTCTCCTCATCCTTTTCTTTATTTTCGTCTGTTTTCATGTTGTCTGGCTTAAAACATCTGCCAGAGCAACTTGGGATGGATGTTTCATATTTTTATCAGACATGCCTTATAGAAATGGGAACATCACTCAAGCTTAAAATAGGTATTGCTTGAGAGGCTCAGGACCTCGGGGTTGAGTGGGAAGCAAATTAGAGTGCTTCAGGGCTCAGATATCTTTGAGTGACGTGGCTAGGATACTGTCGTCAGTTTTTGGTAGCTTGTGTTATCTTTGTGTTTTCTCTCCTTCTCACATTAATGTAGGCATGTTTGGTGAACCATGTAAAAGCTTTTATTTTTGTTTGATTGATTGCTGTTTGTGATTAGATCTCAATGCAAATATGCTTCCATGTGCACAATTGATTGTAGATTTGAAGGTTTGCCTTGTGAGTTGGCTTAACTTAAAGAAGTCAATGGAGATTCAGAATGCACAAGGAGTCTCAACAATTGCAATAGGATTTCAGTTGTGGGTGGAAATCAATAGACTTGTGTCCATCATGATCCGATACATAGTAAGAAGGCTTGATCAATTGAGCTGAGTAGTAGAATGGTTGGAGGTCCTCCATTATGCACTTGACTGATCAAGGTGGAGGGTTGATAGGGCAATAGCAACGAAAATAGCTATGCAGTAGGAAAGTGAAGGTTTTAAGGATGTATATTATTTTGAAGAGTAAGGAAGAGCTGAGTCTTTGATTGAAAGTCCCAAAAGTCATAATGGGTGGTAAAGAATGGTATTGGGTGAGAGTCCTTTAATGGCTATCAGGGCTCAGATATCTTTGAGTGACGTGGCTAGGATACTGTCGTCAGTTTTTGGTGTAGCTTGTGTTATCTTTGTATTTCCTCTCCTTCTCACATTAATGTAGGCATGTTTGGTGAACCATGTAAAAGTTTTTATTTTTGTTTGGTTGATTGCTGTTTGTGATTAGATCTCAATGCGAATGTGCTTCCATGTGCACAATTGATTTTAGATTTGAAGGTTTGCCTTGTGAGTTGGCTTAATTTAAAGAAGTCGAAGGAGATACAGAGTGCACAAGGAGTGTCAACAATTGCAATAGGATTTCAGTTGTAGGTGGAAATCAATAGACTTGTGTCCATCATGATCGGATACATAGTAAGAAAGCTTGATCAATTGAGCTGAGTAGTAGAACGGTTGGAGGTCCTCCATTATGCACTTGACTGATCAAAGTGGAGGGTTGATAGGGCAATAGCAACGAAAGTAGCTATGCAGTAGGAAAGCGAAGGTTTTAAGGATGTATATTATTTTGAAGAGTAAGGAAGAGCCAAGTCTTTGATTGAAAGTCCCAAAAGTCATAATGGGTGGTAAAGAACGGTATTGGGTGAGAGTCCTTTAATGGCTATCAGTTGTCTTCATTCTCTGATAATGAATGAGAAAGGAACCCCAAAGAATACCATGGAGACCAGGACTTAAAGGTTATGAAGTCTCATAATGGATTCTATAACAGACCAACTCCACGCAACTATGGACATTTTGAAAAACCCTACTTTTTAATTTAAGCTTAGTGAACCAAAAAGACAGATATCCAAGTGATCTTCCCCCTCCATTAGTTGCCTGATAAAATTTGTGAACTTGAAAATTTAACCCTAGGTTACAGGAAGCAATATAATGAAATTAATAGGCTAATATTTTATCATCCCTAATTGTGATGTTGTGGCCCGAATTTTGACCCCTTTTTGCTTGCAGGTCGTGGACCCTAATTAGTACTCTCTTGTAGCCCAATATATAAGGGCATTTAGGGTTTGGAGTGGATAGAGTAAGATGCTGAAAATCGTAGAGAAGAGAGTGAGAGCTAGGGTTTGGGGGGCTGAAACTTGTAATCTCATGTTTTTCGCATAGTGAAAACTTTTGCCAGATTTTCACCGTGGATGTAGGCTTTTTCTGTCGTGTTTCTTGATTTGTTCTTGGTCGCTGTGTTTATCGTAACACGAATTATAATAATGACTTATTTAAAAGGGAAAATTAGGCAAAAGGTTGTCTCCTAATCAGACTGATGGAGTTTGCAAACTGCTGCTTTTAAAACGTTAATATGCATGCTACCTGAGTTAAATATTTGATAAATGATTACAGCAACCAAACATTCATATCTATCAACTGTTTTTTCTTTTTTTCTTTTTTTTTTTTTTATGTTTACTTGCATCTAAAACTTCAAATTCCTATATGTGATAAGAGTAAATGCAACAAGAAAGTTTAGCATATATATCTCTATATATGATTTTTATAATCTGTTCTTTTTCTTCTTGGAAAATAGTTCTGGTTAGCGTTAGTTTTCTGATTGGAATATATTGCATATTAGAAACCAAAAAGGAGAATTCCCGTGCCATATGGAGGAAGGTCTGCTGTGGCAGCAGAGAAATCACAGCGTTCTAGAAGCGTGTCTTTCAGCCCTGATCGGGTACGTGTGAGAGGCAGGTCTCCAGCGTTTAATGCTTTAGCTGCCAATTTTGAGAGTCCGAATACAAGGAACCTGTCAACTCCTCCCCCAATGGTAAAGAAACTTTATCCTAAATCTGTGACTCCAGATTCGGGAAAACTGGCCTCCAGATCTGCAACTATTGCAGCACTAACTTCGTCTTTTGAACAACCAGCTCGAGAAACTATTATACCTCGTTCTCTTAAAGGTGTGCACTGGTTAACTATTTTGAGAAAATTGAATTTGTTTTCTTTACAACTGAAATTTGATGAACCATCTTATCATGTGTGAAGTGAGCCCGGAGGCACCCAAAGCAAAAGCAGAGACAAACTCCAAGGAGAACTCTATGAGCAGCAGAATAGAAGCCCTAACCATACAAGAAGATGTCAAAGAGGAAGAAGCTGAAGATGATGAAGGGCTCCTAACATACCCATATGAACGCCTTAAAGTTTTATCTGCAGATCCTGTCACAGAAATTGATGTAACCAAGCGAGAGGTATATACTTCAAAGACATAATAATGACATAACAAATTTAGCTTTATTATTATCTTTTTACTAAAATTTTGAAGAATTAATGTGTGCAGACTTATCTATCTTCGGAAGAGTTCAGGGAGAAATTCGGGATGAAAAAGGATGCTTTCTATAAGTTGCCCAAGTGGAAACAGAATAAGCTGAAAATGGCCCTTCAATTGTTCTGAGTGTTCTTGATCATTTGATTTTCTACTTCAGCTTCCTGCAGTTTAGATTGCTGATGGAAAGAAGCATGCTTGTAAAATTTGTATGGCTTTTCTCTCCTGATATTTTCTGATGTGGCTTCTTTTGCAACTCGCAACTCACTTTAATAACCACCATCTTCATTCTGCAGTGGAGGAATCAGGTTCTCAAGTGTGAAAGGGACAGCATCAGTGCATTTTTAGCTGTTTATGCTCCCAAGAAGCTTGTTTTCGTGACTGATGGATAATTCCGAGATGTTTCCTATTTCTTTCCATATGGTGGTGTGGCTTATTTAGCTTTTGTTTTTTTTTTTTCTTTCTTTTTTGAGTAGTTGCTTGGTGGTATTCTTTACAATCACAGGTTTGTTGTGAGAGCTTTCATTTTTGTTTTTGTTTCCCCTTTTCATTATTTAACCATTGATTTCAAAAGAGCAATTAGGGTTTGCGGATTCAGATATTTTAGCTTGTATTGTATGATCGAGGATGAAAAGTGTGTATAAAAGAGTGTAATTCAAGTCCACTCATTTGTTTTGGAAATAAATTGTGATTCTTTTTTTTTTTTTCAAGTTTTATCTGTGCTTTTCCTTTTACCAGTGTTGATGCTGGTGATTAGGACTTCCAATTCTGTTTGTATCAAGTTCAATAGTTTGAAATTCCATTAGTAGAAGCAGTCTCGCCTTCGTAATGGTAATTTTCAAATTTATTGCGTAATTTAGTGCTCCCAACTGTGGTCGGAAATCGCATAATTGATTTTATGCCATCCTGTAGCTGCCAATAACACACCGTAACACACACACAAGCATGTTTTTTCTTGCATCACCATTGCTAATGCTATCACATCATTGTCATGTACTATTGTTGGACAAACCAATTCTGCTTGAATTTCTTTCTTCTCACTTTCACCACACACAAAGTGTGTTGTTGTGTGTGACAATTGCACTCACGGAATTAGTTTTCATTTATGTGTGTGCTTGTTGCTCATAATTGCTCTCTCTCTCTGTCCCTCTCTTTTTCGGTAAGTTCTCTCTCTCCCTCTCTCTCTCACACGCACAGACACACACACACACACGTCACTGAGCTTATTATGCATGGCTTCAGCATCCCTGAGCTTATATCTTCCTCCGTTGAATTAGTAACTACCTCAAAAAAAAAAAAAAAAAAAAAAAATGCTACTGTTTGGCTTGTGTAATTTGTAATTCTACAGTTTTGGTTTCATGAATGGTAAGAAAATGCAAGAGGTTGTTTGTTGAAAATAAAAAAAGAAAAAGAAAAAAAGGTGGTAAAACATATTTCGGGTGCCAACTGTGAAGTTGGTGCTATTTGATTTGGATTGAGCATGGCTAAATTGAGTTATCATGTGCCACATACGACCAAAAGTGCCGTAATTTCTCGGAACCTTCGTTTATACATTTTGTAAAAAAATGTTATTCCCGGTAATGAGTATTGACGAATTTGTACTCTACCTTCGTGAAAAAGCGTGCTTGCGAATATTGTGTACAACCCGATCGGACAAATGTGGACCATTGGATAAATGTCAGTTGTCCACGTGGCACTACAGCAAATAATACATTGATGTAGATCGTAGATCTCCAACTAACTCCGAATTTGTAAACAAATATTAGTATATTACAATCCTTTTATGGAAAATTTGAAAGAGTAACGTGGGAAATTGATAGTTTTGTTGTGCTTGTATGCAATGCGTCTTAAAAATAGCATTAGATTAATTTATATAGAATCATAAATAAAAATAAAGAGGAAATAATTATATATGAGAATATACCTCCTTTTACCCTTTTTCCTTTGTGCCTTAAGTTGTGTGGAGTTTATTCTTCGTCTTATTCCTTTGACCTTGATTCCTTATCCTAATGGAAGCATGTAACTTTATTTTATAGTCAATTTGACACCAAGGGAAAATGGAAGAAAGAAGGAAAGAATGGGAAGGAAAGGGGAAGGGATTGGAGGTTTTTACTTTATTTATTTTTTTTACCTTTTATTATTATTTTTATAAAAAAAAAAAAAAAAAGAGATACAATCATACAACTCTTGAAAAGATTTACAATTTTTTTTTTTTTTTTTGTCAAGATATATAACTTGTCTTGTTCTTACTTCTACTATTTTTTAGGAGATGAGTATAGTTTAAGAAAATGTATATATACAGGGAAACATGGGTTTTTCTAACATATATTTATTCATTGATTTTTTTGATGAAAAAATTATTCCGTTGGAAATAGAAAATAATCTTGGGTATTTCTGGAAACAAATATAACGGTATTAGTAAAATAAAAATAAAAACAATTATCTTTCTTTTATTTTTTTGTCCAGCTATAAAAGGCTCACGAGCTACACTCGAATGCTAGAGAGTCTTTCCGAGAAAAAGGAAAGGGGAAAGAAAAAAAGAAAAAGAAAAAAAAGAAGAGGTGTTGTGAGAGGAATTTGGAAAGAGAATTGGACAGGTAATGGGAATTGAGAGAAATGTCGATCGAGAGAGTACCTGTTGAGATCTGTAAAGGCATCAATGGCCTCGAGAAGGTCGTTCTCCGCGAGGCTCGCGGCAGTTCTGCCGAGGTATGTATATGTCTTCTTTCTCTCTCTGTACAATCTTTTTGATTATATATATATATATATCTTGTGATCGATAACTCGTTTCAATCTCTTTGTATATCCACAGTATGTAGGTGTGATCTGATGCTTGTTATGATAACTGCTGTCCTTTTTCTTTTTCTTCTTTCCTTAAAAAATTATTGGATTATGCATAGATTTGCCTCATTAAGATACAGGATTTTGAATATTTGCTTGAATTTGATAGACATCTAAGGAATTGATGGTTGATCTTGAATTCTAACACGATATTTATCTGGATATGTAAGTTGTTCGAATTTGTATGTTTCTCACTTTCTCTTTAGTTCAAAATCAAATTCACATGTATAGTGGTGATAGGAAGTTGATATAGCTGTGTTTACTGAAGTCATGATGTGGTTTTTTTCTTGTCTGAGAATAAATCTGCTCTTTGAACTCTGCCAGACTGTTAATAGAAAATGGAATTATGTTGTCAGATTGCATGTATATGCATACTCTATTGTTTATTAATTGAGATTTGGTCCTTTTGGTTTTCGGCGCCATCATCTGAATCTCATTTCGAGGATCTTCCTTTCTCCATATGTCAAAGTTTATATTGATAAAGGCTAACTGGTAGATAAACAAATAATTCGAAATAGGTTGTTTCTCAAACTTCCACCATAGGAGATTGACTCCCAGGCGAAATTTGCTTGTATGGATGGCCTTTTGCAGTTCCTTTTGAGAATTAGTAGTAGTTATGTGGAGGAAATTTCATGCGTCACATATGAGTCTTAAGGGCTTGCTTTAGTTGAATTTTAAAAACATTGCATTGAATACATTAGTCCATATATAGTTTTGAATTTAGTGAATATTATGTTGTCATAATTTAACTGTAACAGGCACATTTCATATTGTATTTAAGTTTCTGCTCATCAAACCTTCACTTGTGCTACCAATAGAACTTACTAGAGAACTTATACTACCAATAGAAATAAACAACCATATATGTCATGCTTTATTTATTTCTTTAGGTGTATTGAAATAGAAAACAAAAGGGTAGATGTGCTATTGATTATTCTAGTTATGATTATTGATTCTTTTAATTAATTTGGTTGCCATTTTTATCATAACAGATGGTTCAATTGAACTAGTGTTTATCCTACATTCTTTTGTTGTATAGCTAATATTACAGGTAAAGAAGGATTAACTTCCTTCTTTTTAGCTAATTATATCCAAACAAAATCTCTTGATTTAATTAGTCCAACAATGTAACTTATAGTTATTTGGTAAATGCATTTTGCAGTGACTGAAAATTTACTAAGGTAGTACTTTATTGTAAAAAAGTTATATTTGGAAATTATTGAGTGTTGAAGATTGGCGATCTAAGATTCAATGGATCAGGTTGGGATAGTTTTGATCATTTATTTAGGAGCACCATTAAGGCATAATATTACTCATTGAATTGCAAACTTGAAAATTTGGGTTTAATATAGTAGGTCTAAAGGCGAGACTACATTTCTTGATTTTCTAAATAAAAAGATAAAAGAACACGATGCATGTATTTTCTCAATTCTATATCTGAAATCTAGTACGCTATGAACAAAGATGTGGACTTATTTAATTATTTTAGGTTCTTCAAGTCCTCGTGTTGAAATGTATCTTAAGATTTAAAGGAGGACGGCCCATCCATTGTTTTGAAGTTCCTAGATGTTTTGAGGTCAAAATCACATGGTCTTTCAGACAAAGCATTTACCAAGTTTGGAAATTCTTGAAAGACGGAAGATTACGCCATGGATCTAGCAGCATGATTTATACCAAACTTCTTTTTAGAATTTCATATTATTTTATTTCTTTAGAACAGGCAAATTTTCATGCTTTTCCTAGTTTATTGTTTTTCTAGGTGTACTGTATAAAATGTTTAGAGTTATATATGGTCTTTCAGACAAAGCATTTACCAAGCTTGGAAATTCTTGAAAGACGGAAGATTACGCCATGGATCTAGCAGCATGATTTATACCAAACTTCTTTTTAGAATTTCATATTATTTTATTTCTTTAGAACAGGCAAATTTTCGTGCTTTTCCTAGTTTATTGTTTTTCTAGGTGTACTGTGTAAAATGTTTAGAGTTATATATTTGCTTATTGTGGAGTTTAACGTCCTTTTTTTTTTCTTTCTAAAGAGATTAAGAGAAATATGAAATTTCAGTTTGCGGGTGTGTATTAATTTATGCTGTTTATTTATATTATCTTGTTTTACAGGTGTATCTCTATGGGGGTCATGTGACGTCTTGGAAGAACGATCATGGGGAGGAGTTGCTTTTTGTCAGTAGTCAGGTGCAATGCATTTTAATCAACTTTCAATAGATTGATGTATCTATTATATTGCCTCTTGCTCCAATTACCCATATAACTATTTTCATATTTCCTTTATCATTGGGATTGTCCATAGATTTGGCTTATTTCTTGTCCATAGAGATTGCTTGCTAGTGGAAGTTTGAGTAAGCAGAATTAATTGTTACTATGACTGAAATACATTCAACTTTGCAAGGTACCACCGACATGCAACTCTAGTGTATCTTTTCCTTGTCCAACATGGGATTTTGAGATCTAGCACCATTAGGATAATAGTGGGTGTATGAGTGGTGTGTGTCTTGCATACCAAGAAGAGTTAAAAAAAAATAAAAAATTAGGATAATAGTGGGTGTATGAGTGGTGTGTCGGGTGTGTGTCTTGCATACCAAGAAGAGTAAAAAAAAAAAAAAAACCTTTGCAAGTTATATTGCTCAAAAATGCCATTTATTGTGTTGTGCTTCTGAGTTAATTACATAAAATTAGGATAATAAGTCAACCTTTAGGCTTTCTGAAGTTCCTTTTTTATTAAAAGGTTAATTTGTTATGTTTAATTTTTTATAAATTAAGTAAAGTTAATATGCTTTGCTTTGATAGAGTATTTTACTCTCCACTTGATGGTGCACCAAAATCAATGATTAACACCTTGTCTGTCTTTTGTTGGGGTTCTGTGATTTCACATGAATGTTTGTACCAGAAAAAATATTTATTTATCTTCTTTTTGTTTTTTTCTGGCCATCCTTGCACTTCTGGGGGCTTGTCATGTGAAGCTGTATTTTTTATATATACAAAAATTGGGTGATTAGAATAATGGATATACTCTACACTACACCATTGAAACATACAGCCCATTATTTAGGTGACTAGCTTAAATGCTAGTTGCATTTTTAAAGTACTGTCTCACTTTTATATTCTTAATCTGGGTTCCATATCCAAAGGTTTTCTTACCAGTAGTCCTTTTACTATATTATTGAGATTCAAAATTGATTTAAACATATTCACGACATATTGGTACATTGATAAGATTTAGGACCATGCTAGCCCTGCTGATATATTTCATATAGTTGTACTTATCAAAAAAATGTACTTCATATAGTTGCTCCTTAGTGATGGGAAGGCTGAGTCTTACTTTGTGGTGTGTACTTTGATTTATCAAATTTGAAAATGTCATACCTTATGCAGGCTATTTTCAAGCCTCCAAAGGCAATTCGTGGAGGTATTCCCATATGCTTCCCACAGGTATGTGCTTCAAAACCGTTTCCCTTCTGGCTCTTCTTTGATTGCATTCAACTTGGTGAAGGAAACTTTCCCTGTATATGCAGTTTAGTAGTCATGGCACCCTAGAACAGCATGGTTTTGCCAGAAACAGAATTTGGAGCATTGAGGCAGACCCTCCTCCTTTTCCGACAAACTCCTCCAGCAAGGCATTTGTTGACTTGATCCTTAAGCCTTCTGAAGATGATCTGAAGATTTGGCCTCACAGGTACAAATCCGAGAACTTTCTCACTTAGGTATGTTTTTGAAAGAATGCTAGTTCATTTGTTGTTAAACTGTGCACTTTATTGGTTGTTTACTTTCCTGACATTTTATTTTATTTTGTATTAGTTTTTATTATTATTTTCTATTTTAAGTCTCATGTCCTTTTTGTTTATTTGTAGTTTTGAGTTCCGGCTGAGGGTAGCTTTGGGACCTGGAGGAGATTTGATGTTGACATCTCGCATAAGAAATACCAGCACTGAAGGAAAGCCTTTCACTTTCACATTTGCATATCACACCTATTTCTCTGTTTCAGATATCAGGTATCTTACTGGTTTTCACTTTGATGAGGCTGTTATGCGATTGTTATGCTATCTTTTATTGCTTTTTTTTTTTTTTTTTTGATAAGTAAGAAATGCATTGAAAGCGTTCAAAAGGGGAACGCATCCCAAGAGAATAAACACAGGGCCAAAACAACCCTTTAAGCCTTCAAAGAGGCCAAGAAAACAACAATATCCTCAGAAGATCTAAAATCTCTACCCGAAACCCAACAAAAAAGAGTGGAAAGAATAGAGAATTTAAGAAAAGAAATAGGCCTCTCCTTTCCCTCAAAATATCTTTTATTCCTCTCCAGCCAGATGCACCACCACACACAAAGAGGCGTAGCCCTCCAAGCATCACGAGCATGGGCCCCTACAGAGAACCCTCTCCAAGCCTCAACCATCTATCTAGAAGAGCGAGGTATAACCCAATAGAACCCAAACAAACAAAGCATCAAGTCCCAACATTCCTTAGCCACGGGGCAATGAAGAAGAAGATGATCCGCTGTCTCATTATCCTGAAGACACATGTAGCACCGATTAACCACTACCTGATTCCTCCTCCTCAAATTGTCTTGGGTCAAAATCTTACCAAAAACAGAGGTCCAAGCAAAAAAAAGCCACCTTGAGAGGAGCCTTAGAGCTCCAAACAGACTTCCACGGGAAGGATCCTCCAAGCTCAGCTGTAAGACACCTGAAGAAGGAACGAACATCAAAGCGACCTTGCGGATTTGGCTTCCAAATCCAACAATTAGAATCACCAGCCATAACGCTCTGACGATACAACGCCTCCAACAAAAGACTGACATCCTCGACCTCCCAATCTTGAAAAGGACGCCTGAATCGAACATCCCAAACCAGTCTCCCATTATCAAGACAATAACAGTCAACCACCTTGGCTTGTTTATCCGAAGCCATCCTAAACAACCGAGGAAAAGCCAGGGCAAGAGAAGCCTCCCCGCACCAAACATCCTCCCAAAAACTGATCCGCCTGCCATCCCTAAGTCTGAAACGAACATGAGTGGAAAAGACAGTCCACCCCTTCCGAATAGACTTCCAAACTCCCACACCCCTCGGGCCACGCACCTCAAGAGAGCACCACCCTCTTCTACCTTCCCCATATCTACTAGCAACAACCTTCCGCCAGAGCCAGTGCCTCTCCACTCCAAACCTCCACAACCATTTTCCAAGGAGAGCTTTATTGAAAGGCACCAATTTACGAAGGCCCAACCCACCATAACGAATCGGCTTGCACACCACCATAACGAATCGGCTTGCACACTTGCTCCCACCGAACCAAATGAAACTTAAACTCCTCCCCTCTTCCCCCCCAAAGAAAATTGCGTTGCAACTGTTCAAATCTCTCGGCAACAGAGAGAGGAATCTGAAAAAGTGAGATGAAATAAGTAGGAAGGCAAGAAAGGGTACTTTTAATCAGAGTAACCCGCTTCCCTTTAGAGAGATATTGCTTCTTCCAACCCGCTAATCTCCTCTCAAATATGTCCACAACAGGATCCCAAACCCCCACACACCTCGAAGGAATTCCCAGAGGGAGCCCTAAATAGGAGATAGGAAAAGAGCCAGTACGACAACCAAGAATGCCCGCAAGCGAAGCTAACTTAGGCACCTCCCCTAGTGGCACCAAAACACTCTTGCCAACATTTACCTTGAGGCCGGAAACGATTAGGAACCAAATCAGAACACATCTCAAATACCTGAGTTGGGACGCCTCTGCATCACAGAACACAAGCGTATCATCTGCAAACATCAAGTGGGAAATCTCCAACTGGCTGGCAACATCCCTACCCACCCGGAACCCATTCAGGAAACCCAACTCAACAGCCCTCCTCAACATCCTATTGAAGGCCTCCATCACAAAAAGGAACAAAAGGGGGGAGAGCGGATCCCCCTGTCTCAGGCCCCTCGAGCTAGAGAAAAAACCCGTCGGAGCACCATTCACAAGTATAGAGAAACGAGCACTGGAGATGCAAAAATGAATCCATTTCCTCCACCGCTCCCCAAAACCCATCCTCTCCATCAGATAAAGAAGGGAACTCTAACTCACATGGTCGTACACCTTTTCAATATCCAACTTACACAAAACCCCTGGTTCCCCACGACTCAGCCTAGAATCCACACACTCACTAGCAATAAGAACTGAATCCAGAATCTGACGGCCTCCCACAAAAGCATTTTGATTGACACCTACTTACATTGGGGCATAACTCTATTGCATTGACCTCAATCCTACTTTGAAGCTGGATGTGATTTTTTCATATTCATTATTATACACAATGACTTCAGATGGAATTTAAAATAGTAAATAAATTGTTGAACAACTCGTGTCGTGTAACATGTGACTTAGCTCATTTATTAAATAGGTTAGATTGGTTGTGTTATGTTACTTGTTTAATAAATGGGTCGTGCTCATGTCAAGATGTTTTAATAAACAATTCATGTTCTGATTAATCCTTATAGCATAATACACCTGACATGACACACAAATGACCTTTAAATTGCCACCCCTATGCATGACACATAATAGGCTATATGGCTCAGAGAAGTTAGGTCTCCCTTTCATGATGGAGTTCCTTTCTTTTTTATTTTATTTTACAAAGTATCAATTTCTGCTTCAATGGCATTGTGTTCTACGATTGAGGAGAGAATGAAAGATCATATCATTATTATGGAACAACTTTGGTTAAGGTAGTTTACATCATGTAAGCAGTTGTAGAATAAAGTGAAGGGAAAATTTCACTGACACCCCCTCAGGTTTGGCCAAATATCACCCTCAAATATCTTTCGAAAATAACTATCACTCACATTACAAACGCTTGCTCTGTTTTTCACTCACACCCCAAAAGTTAGTTGACAGGTATGTCAGACCACTTTTAACATATAAAAGACATTATTACCCCTTTGACTTTTTGTGTTGACTTATTAAAAAATTATTTAATGTATAAAAGACTTAACTACCCATGGAACTCATGTTAAGTGACTAAAATACCCGTTGACATTAAACCCTCAACCATCACCACCAATCATACATATAGATATATATACATATATTTATACACACATATATTAGAAAAGATAAAATTACACACAATAATTTTTATATAAAAACAAACAAACATATATATATATATATATATATAGAGAGAGAGAGAGAGAGAGAGTATACAAAGAGAAACTCATGAGAATTAGATTACACACAATAATTTCTATAAAAAAACAAGCATATATATATATATATATATATATATATATATATATATAGAAAGAAAGTATACAGAGAGAAAATTTGACCATAGAAAAGCCAAAAATAGATCATGAATAAATAAAATTGGGGAAAAAAAGAAAGAACCGAAACCGCATCAAATCCACGAACAAGTCGCCGGTGTTTATGGAGTTTAGCGGCATGGTGGTACGAGGGAGGAGAGGACACGATGCATATATATATATATATATAAGAAGCAATAAAGCTATATAAGGAGTAATTTAATTTGTAGAGTTCCAGTAATTCTTGATCCACACGATCGTTGTTGAAATTCTGGCAATCGTCGTCCACTTGTTCCCCGAACCTGGCCTGCGGACGCATAGTGCTTCACCTCCGGTAAGAGTTGATTACACCTCTGGAGACTGCACAAGTTGCCGGACCTACCAGGAAACGATCTGGATATCAACGTCTAGTTCCACGCTCCGTGTTGATCCAATCCACCAACGAAAACTCCATTGCCAATTCATTATTCCTCGTCGATTTGCTAGAGATCAAGAACAGAGACTTCATTGTTCCTCTGTACACGATCAAAGAGAGTGTCAAACACTCTATATGGTTTATTGTATATGAATTTTTGTATTATTATTATAATTTTTTTTGGTAATTAATCAATTTTGGGGAAACCAAACCCATTAATTGTTTGTTTTAATTTATCAATCAGGGTATTTACAGATTGATTTGGGAATTCTAGTATTGGAGTTTATGGTTTATGGCACCAGTTAGTTACGTATAGAAAGTGTATATGTTGTTGTGTATGATAGAGAAAGAGACGAAGATGAATTAGACAGATGAAGAAAAAAAAAAACTAATTGGTTCCATCAGCAGAAGAGGGGTGTAATTAGCAATAATTAGGGGTATAATAGTCATTTAGGTTATCTGATATTTTAGAATAAATGTGATTAAAAAATTAGGGGTAAAGTTGTCTTTTCCCATGTTTTTAACGGAGACTGTGACGGAAAAGTGAAAATGGACCTAAGTGATAGTTATTTTCGAAAGATGTTTGAGACTGATATTTGGCCAAACTTGAGGGGGTGTCAATAAAATTAACCCTAAAGTGAATTACAACCTAAGTAGCCGGTGAAGGATTACACTTCTTGTGAAACCATTTCGAAAGGTTTGGTGACAATTGGACAACTGAAATCATGGCTGAAAACAAAAAATTTTGGTTCCAAGCTCCAACTCTTTGCTATGTTTAAAAGGTCAAGGCATGAGACCTGGAGCGGGACCTCCAGATGCCAAGGAACTATGATGAGTTGTGAAAAATAAATGAATGATTATTGCAGTATATGTATATCTAATTTAAAGTTTTAAACTAGTTTGTCTATAGGTTAAAATTGAATTAATACGGTAACACCAATATATCTGTGGGTTAAAACTGGATCAGGCAGGCTTGTTTAGTGGATTCTACCTACCTTGCTTACCTCTGCATGCGGAGAGGCTGTTTCCTTGTTTTGAACTGATGACCACCAGGTCACAATGGAGCAACCTTACCCTCACGGCTCGCCTCTGTTAGTTGTACTTCAGTATTTACTTTTAAGTCAAACTTGTGCAAAGATAATGAAACTTTTTGATAACTTCTCCTGTTAACCTAATGCTATAAATAAAAATATGGAGACTGCGCTTTGTAAAGTTTAGGCAGCTTCTGATTTTGATGTTTATGTCATTTTTTGCTGTAGACTTGTACATTTCTATTTGTGAGTTAGCTTATGGCATTGCTGAGTTTAGCAAAATTCCAGTTTATATTTTATATTGTTGAGTTTAGCTTATGTCTGTTTTGTGTATGAATATTGATAAAGAAAAAAATTATTCACTCATAGAACAGATGCAATTGTCCTTGGCACATTACGCGCTCATTGTTCTGGATGAGGTAAACATTGCACTTCATACCTGTTATTGAAGTCCATGTTACAGAATTAGACTAGTCATCGAGTGCAAGGCTTGCTTAGTTTAGCCTAGTTGGTCCATCCAAAATCATAGTAGTGAAATAAGATGTAAAGTTCCGTGAAATTTGTTATATTGTGAAGCAAACACACGTGTCAATATCAAATTAATAGAATTGTTTCATGAACTTAACAATTAGGTAACACTTGGTGAATTAATTAGATACATATTGAAAGCTCCCATCTCTAGCATAATGACTTTTATTGGTGATCTATATGCTGCTCTTATTCATAGTGCACGGGGACACTGTACGTAAATCTTCCTCTTTTACACAAGTAAATTTAAGAAAGCCTATTCCTGAATATATTTTGGGGGCTTGTCTGCTGATACCGATATTGGATGTTGTTTTATGGCCTTACTAGTACAAGTCATAGATCTCCTTCTGTTTTCTTAGTAAAGAAGTATGTATCATAACCAACTAAACTCAAGAACATAGTCAAATAGGAATGGTATCATCTCTAAAGACAATAGTAATGCTTTCTCGTCCACTCTATAACAGTCACAGTTGGGGAGTCTACAAGGAGAAATTCCTAGACTTCGTAGTAATTATCAAGGGAGTTAAAGGTCAAAAGTTGTAATTGAGGGACTAATTATAATGTCATATTTGGACCAAAAATATTATATGGTCATTTAAGAAATATGCACTTGCATTGAGAAATTTTTATGCTTGCTGCTTAATTGAGTGCGCACTTTGTCCTATCCATGGTTTGTAACGTTTGTTTACCATGAAGCAAATGTTCTAGCCTGGATAACTGCCTCTTTGTTGGAAAACTTTTAAAGATCACTACCTCTCTATTTATATTTTTCTTTCTGGACGCATATACCCATATCCTTACTCTTTTCTGGAAGTAAATCTCCTTCCTTCCATGCTTCTCTTGCATTTTTTAATTTTTCCCCTGAAACACTTTGTTGGGCAACTTATGATGAGTCTATAATCTGCAGTTTTGTGTTAACCACCATCTATTCTAAAAGCTTAAGCTTTCAGAGAGGGTGTAACTTTAATATTTAAATCCTTTAACATGCCCCCTCACGTGTGGCCTTTTTTTGGTCCAACATGTGTTTTTTAATTTTTTAATTATGGTGATGGTGAGGTTTGAACTTAAGAACTTTGGCTTTGATACCATGTTAACCACCATCTACTATAAACGCTTAAGCTGTTAGAGAGAGTGTAACTTTAATATTAAATCCTTCAACAATATTGTTATGAATAGTTTACTTGCTTGTATTCAGTGAAGTTCGGGTGGAAGGATTAGAGACATTGGACTATCTTGACAACTTGCAGGGTAAGGAGCGATTTACTGAACAAGGGGATGCAATAACTTTTGAATCAGAAGTAAGTTTGGGAAATTATTCTCTCTCTCTCTTCCTCTCACCGCTACTGCATACATGGTTTGATACTGCTTCTATGTAATCTATGTTAAACAGGTGGACAAAATATATCTCAGCACCCCTACGAAGATTGCAATTCTGGACCATGAAAAAAAACGGACATTTGTGATTCGCAAAGATGGGCTTCCTGATGCTGGTGAGGTTAACCATGTCCATTTACTGAAGATTTCGAATTTTATGGATAAATTGGATTTAGTTGGCTATTATATGATTCCTACGATTTATGATATTTAAGGATCCAATCCTACTTGGTACATTTCAATATCGGATTTGCTGCCAGAAATGCTTAGTGTAACTGAATGATATATATATATATACACACACACACACACAACATTTAGAAGCTAGTCAAGACATCCTTATTTTATCTAGCTTGAATAATGCGACATTACGTATCATGTACCACTAGAGGACCATGTCTGAATAATGGAGGGAACCATTTTTCCCTCGGATTTTTTTTAATATGCTTGGACAAAGACATCGTATTGTATCTATCCTGTACATTAGGTATCATCTACCACCAGAGGACCATGTCTGAATAATGGAGGGAACTTTATTTCCCTCACATTTTTTGTCAATGCTTTGTTAAAACTCTTGTTTTAAGGATTCGCCAGTTAAATTAGATTTGGATATCAAGTGATCAAATAAAAGCTATACCCTGGAAATATCTCTCTTCGATTTATGAACAAGGGAATAAACAAAATATTTTTTCCTGCTAAATTGAGGCACTATTTATCTATTTAACTTCAAAGATTTGTCTTATATGGATTCCCATCTACCCTTCAACATAGCCGTGTTGACATGATACAACATGAGTAATGGGTACGGGATGCGTCTCTATCCCCTACATGGGATGATGGAAGAAGAAGAAAAATGCTCAAATGTAATATAGCAGAGAAGGTTCTCACCACTTCCTATTTAATTTAATTTCTTATGGAATGTATTCTTAAAAAATAGTAAGTTTAATCACATCAGACATTACACTGTTACATCAAATATAATGTAATGTTCATGACATGTCCATGTACTTGATTGTCTTGTGGATGCATTTCCAACCATCTCTAGAGGTCTGAGACTTGATTCACACTTCCACCTTATAAACGTAGTCCAGCCCGTGTAACAGAACCACAAAATTCTTTGACTCTTACAACACCGCATGTTTATGGAAGCTTTTTGAGTTTGCTATCAGAATGAATATTACTATTAAGGAGTGGTTACTACAGTTTCAATGTTTATCTTTTGCAGTGGTTTGGAATCCCTGGGATAAAAAGGCGAAGGCTATGGCTGATTTTGGAGATGATGAATACAAGCATATGCTGTGCGTTGAGACTGCTGCGGTGGAAAAACCGATCACGTTGAAGCCTGGTGAGGAGTGGAGAGGAAGGCAGGAACTATCTGCTGTTGCTTCTAGTTACTGCAGTGGACAGCTTGATCCTCAGAAAGTTCTCCAGAGCAGCTAAGAAAATCCATTATGCTGTTATATATTCTGTACAGGGACTGGGACTCAACAACTACTTTAATTCACCCAACCACAATATTGGCTTTCTGTTCTTTATAAATTTGTTGGCCAGGCCTTGCTTTTAAAATACTTCACATTTATAATCTCTACCCAACTTTATCGTGGTTATAGATATGGTTATTTTCGGTAAATTCTTGACATTTTCTGATCGTGTTTGCTTTTCGGAAAATATTTACAGGTAAAATATCTTTTTTATTTTTATTTTTATTTTTTGGTGTTTGGCAAATAATTTTTCTTTAGTTATTTTTGTTAGGTTTTAATAAGATATTTTACTTAAATTTTAGACAATCAAACAATATATATATATATATATATATATATAAAATTACTGTGCATCTAAACAAATGGAGCCTTTAAGTCATTTTCCATTTCAATTACTCCACCAAAGTTTATAATAACATTTATTTATAGGCCCAAAATAGTGGTTTTTGAAAAATCATAATAATAATTACATAGATAGTCTATCCTTAAAATTTGTACAAATTTAACTGGTTGAAAGCTAGTCCTTCCATAGTTTGGTTGGAAGTGCCCAGCATTTTTTCATCCCTCTAAAATTAGATGGAAGAGAGGATTGAAAGAAATAAAAACTACTTCATAAATATGGAAAGTCATTTTTACCTTACAATTATTTACCTATACAACTCATCGCTTCCTTTTTTTTATATATTTTTCTTTCTAAATATCATTTTTCCTATCTTTATTTACTTAGGTTGTTCTTTTCGAATTGTATTTTCCTCAATATATTTGTTTTCTGGCTTAGTCTTCTTTTCCGGCATGTTTGATATATATAAAAAATATAAAAAATGAAGGCATTGGTGAGTTGAAATTGAACTTGAAATCTCTCCTCTTTTTACAACAATCATCATGAATGATGAGCTTCAACCTTAAAATTCCCAATATACTATCTCTATATATCTAAACAATCAAAAATGTGGATTAATCAACCCCACGCATTGTGCGGGTGTTATTGCAATTAATGGTATATAATTCCCACTTTTGTGTAGTCAAAAGAATGAGGATAATGAAAAGACATAAAGACCATTTTCTGATAGTATCACAGTTTGAATTAATTTGTAGAATGTAAATTTGATTTAAGGTAAATTTCTTAAAATTTAACGTAAATTTATGCATTAATCAAATGGAGTATGTTATGCATTTGTACAAATGGATGTGCACCATAATACATTAGCAAAATAAGAATGTTTTTTTTTTTTTTAATTTTTTATTCCTTTTGGCATGGAGCTGAATGACTTAGCTAGAGATAAGTTCGGTAGGCGTTTTTAGTTAAGTTCTGCTCGCGTTGCTGAATATTTGTCCAAAATTCCAAGAATTCGAGCAAAGTATAGTCACTGGGTTGTTATGAAGTTGACAGAGTCACTGAGTTGTTATGAAGTTGACAGAGAACAACTTGTTTGAGACTCATTTTCGTTTTGATCAAAATTTTAAGGTTAGTCTAGGCTAATTTTTTCCGAAGGCAACTAACATCTAAATAATTTACTAGTACTCACACACCCACTTCTATATACTCCATGACTACCAATAAGAGTGGTATGATTTATATAATGAATGGTTAGGATGCATTACACGACTAAAATCACACTCTTTTCAAACATTTTAAATATTTACAAATTCTACAATCTCTTTAATCTACTAATTTTTACAAAGTTGTTTAATATTTTAGAATCTTTCATCTTTCTGCGACACCCTACATAATAAATATGAAAGACTCTAAAATTTAAATCCCCCATATGCCAAATAGCTCCTGTTGCCTGCATTGCGGAACAATATGAACCAAAAGAAAAAGAAAAAAAAAATGATTGGAGATCTTTAAAAAAAAAAAAAAAAATTAAATTCCATTAAATCACCATGTAAAAAAAATGGTACAAGCTATGAAATTACTCGGAGACCCCAGCAAAAGCAGCAGATTTTATTTTTTATTTGTTTTGTGTTATGTTTCATCTTAATGTTTTTTCTTCAAATGTTATGAAATTTCAGACATCTTATAACATAAAGTCATAATAAACCTATAAATCATCCATCATTTGAGACATGTAATGCAATTAAAAATGCAAAAAGAAACATAGAGGGGATGATAGTAAAGACAAAAGTCGAGTTATGCTTGAAGAAGAAGATAACACAACTTTTATATTAATTTTCAAATTTTAATACTATTTCTACTTACTTGGTTGCAAACTGCTTCAGCAACATGTATATATTGCCAAATTTACACAACTTATAGTAATAAATTAAACAGTATCTTTAATATTTTGTTTTTCATCTTCCAACAAGTTGTTTGATATTCTCTATATATGCACCTTTGAAGTTCTCAACCAAAATTGATTTAGTTTTTAAACAGTGTCTAACTGAAACATTGGCCAAAACTTTACTGTTCTTTGATGTGATTCCTAACTAATTTTACGTTTAATTTATTGCTGACTTCAGTCTTTTTTCTTAAGAATACACGTCTATAAACTAATTTTATATTTTTTTGTTTGTGAGTTTAATTATATAGTGTACATACATACACACACACATATATATATACATATATATTAGGCACGGATTCATGAGTGGATTGTTTTTGTTTTTTTTTTTCCCCTCATTTTGATATATTTACCTATAAAAAACTACTATTGCCCCACTTAAATTCCTAAAAAAAAAATCATAATTGCCCTCGTATATTTTTTCCTGTCCGTCAGCTGTATATATATATATATATATATATATATATATATTTGAGTATTTTTCTTAAGAAAACACGTGGTAAACTAATTTTATAATTTTTTGTTTGTGAAAACACGTGGTAAACTAATTTTATAATTTTTTGTTTGTGAGTTTAATTATATAGTGTGTGTGTATATATATATATATATATATATATATATATGTATGTATATATAAGTCTGTCGTTGCCTACGCCAATGCCTATGCTAGCGCCATGTGAGCCTCTTGAAAGTCAATATTTCTTTATTTGGACATCTACTATTAGAGGTTACGTACCAAAGTCCATCAATTTTATTAGTGTACTCCATCCCAAAGCAAGTGAACAACAAGGGTGAATCTAGGAATTGTCAATAAAAGTTAGTATTGAACATAAATTTAATTACACAATTTTATAAGTAATTTTTTTTTGAATGGGTTAAAAAGGGGCTAATACTACTATTAAAAAAAAATTAAAAAAATTAGGCTGAAAATACAATACAAAAATTTTATTTTTTTGGGGGGAGACAAGCCCACCCAAGCCCCCCTCTATGTCCCCCTGTGGAGAACACAAGACACATTTATATGTAAAAATATCTATATATCTATACATATATATATATATATGCATGTGTGAACAGGGAGCATGACTCATATCTTGTTTCTCAATAATTACATGAAGTATGGAACTGATCATCTCTCCCAAATAGTACATGTAAATATATATCATTTTACTCTCCCAAAATTAAAATAGAAAAAAATATATATATGTATATACATACGATCGAACACTTCTAAAAAGCCTTATATATATATTATTAATTTACTTTTTTTTTGGGGTCATTTTTCACCAAATAGGAGACCTTGCTACTGGAATAAGTTGAGAAAGGAAGGGACTAATTATATCCTCATCTCCAATTTTAAATAGAATAATACCTTACTTTTCTTTATTTAAAAACAAAAACGACTTAAATTTAATCTTATTAATTAAACGTACATAGGAAGAGTGAACTCGAAAAAAAAGAAAAAAGAAATATTCTACACATACCATGCATAATGCATTACCATTATAGATAATTAACGTGTCAACAACGTTCAATGATCGACCTGCTCAATAATACAAAAATACTAATCAAAGAGTTCATTAATTGAAATAGTGACACACACACACAAAGATATATATATATATATATGAATTATTTATGAGAATATGGTATAGTCCAACTTTCCCATCAAGAAAGTAACATGCAGAATGAAGTCAACTGATTCTCTATTATTTTATTATTAATTGAATGTCAATGTCCATTGCATATTCAGAAGACCCCTTCACAAACTGTTGTTAAAAATTGTTTGCAAAATTAAATTTTAAGATAAATTATGTGTCTTCATGCTGTCTTTAATTAATATTTAAAGTGACACTAGCATAGTTATAATAATAGATTCAAGTTAATGAACTCTCCAATAGAATAGTTTTAGATGACGATCGAGGATGGAATTGAAGAGTTTCATTATACGTTGGGGTTCGATAGAAATTACAATGTAAGGAATCACAAAAGGTTGTGTTTGAAATGGCATTTCGTGAATATATTTCTGTCATTTATTTGTTAATCATCATTTTCATTTTTAACTTGGTTTTTTTGTATAAAAAAAGAAAAAAAAAAAAAAGGGGGTATATTTGCTTCCTTTTTGGGTACGTTAAAAAAAGGGGAGAAATTTGTAAATGTGTATTTATCAAAAATTTAATTTATTTTTATTTTTTATTTTTGTAAATTTGTGTCTCCAACCTTAAGAAATATGATCTCTGCTATGTACATTTAAGTGTTTACATTCAATACCAGAAGACATTCCATTTCCAATTACAGCCTATAGAGAAAAATTCAGTAACTCCAAACAAAGAAGTATCAATGAAATCATTGAGCCATTAATTTTATTGGTATAACCTCTTCCCATTCAATTTTATGTGAGTATTTACCTTTATATATATATATATATATTAAGACTCGACTGTCAAACATGTGAAATTATTAAGTCAAAGCAGTTGGCCATTTATTTTAATATCACCATAACCTTACCATGAAGACTTTTCATGGATATCATGAACTATATACTTCCTCCATCCCTTATTAATAGTCTATTTTTCTTTTTTTACATGTTCTAAATTAGTTGTCCTCTTTGAAAAGTCAAAACATCTTTTTTTTTATATTTCTATCATTGTCCTTTATCTTTTTAAAAAATTTCAAACTTTGTAACTATATATATTTAAATTAGAAAAGATAATTTGGTAATTTTAAAAGGGGACAATGCATTAATTGCATGTCCCCTTAAAAAATTATAAAACCAAAGATGGACAACTAATAAGGGACGAAAGGAGTATATTAAATTGTTGACATGCACGATAATGTGAGTATGACCTACCCAACACATTATGCTC